ACGTTTTCAAAAATGAGTTATCTATTTGCTTCTATTCTTTGAATGACTTAAAAGTTTTTATTATTTACTTCAAAATATTTTCGTAAATGATAGCAATTTTGCGTTGCAGTCTGAATGATATTCAAAGTCAAAATCACAGTATTTGCAGTCAAGAAAAATACATGCGGTTGTTTAAAATTTTTTAAAAAAGTGTATTTATCATCAAGTAATGTTACACGACATTAACAATCAAACTCCAAGCGATTGGATGAAATATTAAAAATAAATTCTTCTAAAATAAGTTCACAATGATACTTCATTAGTATTTCCATATGTGCCCGTACCTGAATCAAATAGTGCCAAATTGAAATCGTCGAGAATATTATAGCTTTGGCTAGGAGCATTTTCTTTTTCGGTGTTTGACGAACTATGTTTTAACTGCAAGTCTTCTTCCGTTGAGCCTGGAATAAACATTTTTTAGATGTCACTTCATTACGACAAGAGAAATAAAAATTTTATAAAACATTTACCTGAATCGAACAATGCCAAATTGAAATCGTCGAGAATATTATAGCTTTGGCTAGGAGCATTTTCTTTTTCGGTGTTTGACGAACTATGTTTTAACTGCAAGTCTTCTTCCGTTGAGCCTGGAATAAACATTTTTTAGATGTCACTTCATTACGACAAGAGAAATAAAAATTTTATAAAACATTTACCTGAATCGAACAATGCCAAATTGAAATCGTCGAGAATATTATAGCTTTGGCTAGGAGCATTTTCTTTTTCGGTGTTTGACGAACTATGTTTTAACTGCAAGTCTTCTTCCGTTGAGCCTGGAATAAACATTTTTTAGATGTCACTTCATTACGACAAGAGAAATAAAAATTTTATAAAACATTTACCTGAATCGAACAATGCCAAATTGAAATCGTCGAGAATATTATAGCTTTGGCTAGGAGCATTTTCTTTTTCGGTGTTTAACGAACTATGTTTTAACTGCAAGTCTTCTTCCGTTGAGCCTGGAATAAACATTTTTTAGATGTCACTTCATTACGACAAGAGAAATAAAAATTTTATAAAACATTTACCTGAATCGAACAATGCCAAATTGAAATCGTCGAGAATATTATAGCTTTGACTAGATACATCTTCTTCTTGTGTGTTTACTAAAGCATGTCCGAACTGCAAATTTTCCATTCGACCTAAAATGAACATTTTTGAGTTATCACTTCAAACCTGAAAAGAAGTGTATTTCTCATTTGATTATTAGATAATTGGTTGTGCATCCACTGCGTTATTTCGTTATTTTTAACGACATTTATGACCACTTCACGACCGTAAATTCCATAAACATATTTTCATGTATGCTGCATCTTACGTTGACAAACTTGTTGGAAATCTTTTGATGTTAAATAAATTTGCGAAACTAACGGCGTGTTTTGTGATTATCCATGTGACGTTTTAGTAAGTCCTTAAACTGCATCGAAGTAGTTGCACTTAAACTTTTCAGGTTGATGTTGCTGGTAGTATCTGCAAAGGTGTGACAAATAAAAACACTCATTTCACATCCTAATCAGTTGCATTTGTAGAAACCATTTTTCTTATGTGTTTCGAGGTGTTGTGGAAATTTATGCTCTATTATGCTTGCAAAACACCCAGGAATGGGACACTCAAACAATGGAATTACCTGAAAAATTCCTAATATGACATTTGTTTCACTACAGTTTAACTTCACAAATATGTTTTCTACATGTATTTCACGTATTAAAAAATCAAAGGAAATACAGCATTCGTTTCTCTGTTAGTTTTACTCAGCTTTATCGGTGTGATTTCAACTGAGGAAAATTTTTTAAATTATTTGGACTATGAATTGGTAGCTGTTATGAACTAACTGCTCTAGACGCAAAACAAACGATAGTTTTTACTTCGATTAAAAAATATTGCAATATCATACAGTTTTCTATTACTACTCCACCGTCATAAATGTCTAGGAGCACGTTTTTACGTTTACGTGTGTTCTATTCCACGTAAATGAATTTGTTGAAATTAAATTTAAATTAGCAAAACTAACTGCATCCTTTGCTGCAATAATCGGTATGATGTTTTAGCAAAGACCTGTAGAAGAATGAAGCACCGCATTTTTTGCATGCAAATTTAGATTGATGTTTTTGATAATGCTGACGAAGTGCTGATAAACATCGATATTCACTTTTACATCTAAGCCAGTTACATCGATAAAGGCCTGGTTGATTGTGCTTGATGATGTGTCTCAAATATTCCTTTCGGTCCCAAGTGCTTGCATCACAGCCCGGAAAACCGCATTCATACTTCTTCTGATCTGATATGAGCTTTCTGTTTACACTCAACTATCACACAATTTGTTAATTAAATGATGTCACTTGAAAGTGACGATGATAAGATCAGTGCTGCAAAAGCATATTTTAAAATTTAAAATTCATTTCCAATTAATATGGTGTAGAAAACCCTTTTGATCTATTTTAGATTTATATTTGAAAAGTAGTTTTAATGCTACCTTTTATAGAAGGGGCTTTCACAGTAGATGATTGCGTTGGCTTTTTATAACCAAATAATAACCATTCGAAGTCATCTGGAATATCATCCTCTTCCAATTCCTGATTACCTGATTGATTCTGTTGATCTCGTGAATCTTGGCCCGATGAATCATCTGAAAAATGAAATTTGGTAGAAATCAACAAAAATAACTTCCTGTCATGGGTTACCAGCACCGGTTGCTAAGAGCAAAGAAAGAGAACGCACCACTCTGAGCCGAAACGCAAAAGATGCAAAGCAGAAGACTGAACCAAACAATTTGTACCATCGATGTAACCGAGAGCTTTGTGAATATTCAGAAATGGTAGAAGCTCAGATGAATGTTTTTTATTTCAGATTGGTTGGAATTATAAGACCAAAGATTTAAACAATTTTTAACTTTGTTCGATTAGTATTATTTCAGATAATTTTTATTGCAACTTTAAAAATACAATTTAAAATTAAAAACGGTGTACGATAATACTGAGATTAGCATAAATTTAAAACTGGCAAGTTGCATTTATTATCAGTGATTAATCTGTACAACAATGAATAATCCTATTTCTCTTTTGTGAGCATTCTTTCCATTTTTTGAAATTTTTCGTTTTTTTCGATGACTTTAGTTAAGTATTAATTACAAACATATTGGCTTATTTTAGACTTTTGTCTTTAAGTGTTGCTAGCATTTTAATTGTATTTCATTTAATCATTTCTAATTCTGATTATTTGCTTTCTTTTCTTCTGTTCTTCAAATTAATTTCTTTCATATAATAATTAAATTGGTGCTATTTTATGTTTATACTTCTTCCTAATTAACACCTTTAGCACTCAAAAAAGTATTTGCATGTGCATATCAAATTATATATATATATATATTTTTCATTTTATAATATCTAACCCAATGACTGTGTTCATCAGCTTTACTCATTATAACATTTTTCCATGCTGTTACTCACAAATTGAAATTGCAGGATTTGTAAAATCATTTTTTTCAGGACAATGTGACAATCAATTACTGCAATAAATATTGATGATGACTTTATTTCCGTGACTGAAATGATTATCAACGAATTTCAAAAGGTTATTTCGGAGTGATCAAAATTGAGCAATTTATAAACAAACGTTGCAAGAAGAAATTTTTGAATAATTATCGCATATGCGGGTGCTGTCATGATTTGATAATTTAATTATTACTTTGATTGCAGGTAGATTCATTGGATTAGATGTAAATATGTGAGGTAACAGAGGAATATAATAATCCTTTATTAGCAGAAACAATAGTACAATAATTGGTAGAGAAGAACTGAAATTGAACTCTCCTGATTCTTAGTAAGAAAGCACACAAGGCCCCACTCAACAAGGGTGACCTCCTTATATAGCAAGCAATATGCATAAACAAAGTATGTGATCTACAATAAGAGGTCGACCTGCCGAAAGAGTAACAAAGAGCTGTCGACCTCAATTAGTGGTGACACAACAATGAGGTCAACAAATGAGGAGCTTATATAGTGTAAACAATATACGAAAGGTTTACTGACTTACTATACTGGAAACAAAAAGCCCAAAGTGTAAACATTATTTACAAAGATCTCATGCAACATATTTTTTACTCATATTCTCAACCTCCACATAATATTTTAGAGTTTCGAGATATTAAAATCAGCGACAGATGCAGCTTTGCAGATTTCAGGTCTTCGAGTTTCTGGTTTAAAAAGTAAACAGGAAAGATGAATGAGATCTTTTTTTTAGGATGACGAACAGTCAGTTCGATCATAACACAACTGCTTATTACATGGATCACAAATGCAAGTGCATTCTCGAGAAAAAAGATCAAGTCTTGACTGCAGGACGAAATAAGCACTCAGCGAAGAAATACCAATGTGTGAAGACATGAGTTCAAAAATAAGCCAATTTTGATACTAGTTTTATGCCAAGCTGTGGTGATAGGCAATTGTGCTTAAAGTTGAATTGCTAAATCTGAACTTATAATATCATTATTAAACCATTCTTGGAAATTTATCACTTTGAAATTACTATCGATAAAAATTGTAAAGTTGATAATTTACTGCAGTGAAATATTTCATCAATTTAAATAGCTATTAAATAGATAATTATAATTCACAAAAGCTTCTTTCTTGAAGTTTAAATAAAAACTTCCATAACTAAAAGCTTACTTTTCACTCATTTCCATTAACTTAAATATTTAAATCTTAAAATTGGCATCCACTAAAACAACCGTAAAATATTCCCCTAGCTAGAACATTTTTTTTTTGCTTTTATTTTTAAATAAATAAATAAATTACTGGTGCGATGAAAAAACCGGAAAAAAAGCAAAGCAATGAATTTAATAAGTTTTATATTTTATATGAATCATTTATCAAAACTGATTGCCATTTCTTGGAAATTTTTCATTTTCATATTTTCAATTAAATCAAAGACATATAAATATCTTTGATTTATTTAATTTAAAGTGTATATAAGCAAACCATAACCAATGCTGAATGTTCCTCTAGTCGTAGATATATAAATTTGACATATGACTCAGAGAAACATCCAGAATGGTACTTAGTTTTACGATCAACCATAGAGAAATACAATCGAAGTTGACCAGTATGGATATCCTAATAAAAAGAGTGGAAATTTTCTTCTACATATTTAAAATTTTTAATAATTCTTTCCTCTTTAAAATTATTTTTCTTAGGAATTCTTCAAATTCCTAAGAAAGTGTTCAAAAAATATTTTATGAAAAAAAAAAAAAAGAAAAGAAAAAGTGAAGGCATATTTTGATAAATCTATACGAATCATTTAAATTAAAAAAAAAAAAAAAATCTCTTAACAATTTTCGTTTCTTGTAAAATTTTATAATTAAGCTTTATGTTGAAAATGTTTAGCTAGATAGTTTTTTATTAATTCGAGAAAATTACCTGTAAGTATCTTATGCAAATCTCTCGCAGACAGCAAAACATTCCGTATTGTTTGACGATTAATAAGCATATCGGAATTAAAAGGAATCGAAATAGAAGATAGGAATTTTTATTTAGATAAAAAAACAAAAAAAGAACTTTCCCAAATATAATGTCAAATAATTTTTCAAATATTCTAAATTATAAATTATAACTTACCATAATATCGGTATTGCCGCTTATATATCCTTAGGAATATTTTGTAATAATAAATATCTTAATTAAATCGTTCAACAATGATGAAAGATATTCAGCATTATTTGACAATGAATGATTAACATAGAAAAGATATTATTAATTAGGCAAAATTTTCCAAATAAAAAATATCTGTAATTAATACTATTACAATTATTATCATTACCTGCTAATAAAAGTATGTTTGCTACCGTTACTTCCCTCTGACATAAACAAATTGGTCATCGATCCATCTGCCATCATTCGGTACGATACAAGAAAAAGGTCAGTAACCATTGCGTATTCTAAATAATCCATCATTTTCTTCTTACCTTTCTTCTCTTTCTTCTTGCCTTTCCATTCTCTCTTTATTCTTTAATTTTCCTAAACATCTGCACAATTAATGACATTATTTCATCAATTCTCTCTCACCTTTTGACCTTTAATTACCTAAAATTAAATATTCATAATTTGATTTGTTCCTTTCATCGCTATCTCAAAGAAATATTATGTGCATTCATTTATAAAATACGATGACGTGTATGACGGATCCTATAATATATTACTTTTACCTGGCGCAAATTTTCTGTTAAATGGATTGTTGATGGTTATCAGATCGTAAAATGCAGATTGATTGCTTTGACTAGATTAATAATGTTAACACTTCTGATGAAATTATAAATGATTCGATAATCGAAAAAAAAAAAAAGGAAAAAGTATATTTACATTATTCGAAATAAAACATCAATGCTGGACATATTTTAGAGAAATAAATTAAAAGGAAATGTTGGAGGAAAAAATACTAGAAGATAAGTCGATATGAATAATATAATTAAATGATAAAACAGTTCTTGTAAAATGTCTAATATTAGACAGCTGGTAATTTATAGAAATGATAAAATGAAATAAGATTATTTCTTTTTCATAGACTGATGTCATTGAAGGACTGATAGCAAAAGTAGAACTCAATCTTATCACTAGTTTTGAAGTAGAGAAACAATTAGGGATTATTAGCAATTTATTGGTAAAACAAATTATATTGCTGCTTATCAGCGATGCAATTATTTGCTAAATTTAAAATAACATATTTTTTTTTATATCCTTATTGAAAAGTTTCAATCGAATTTAACTTTAACTTTAATTTCTTGTAACATTCAATATTTATCATTTAAAATTTGTTCACGACTGCTTAATATTTAATATTTTGTTACGCTTAGAAATTTTTTTGTCGAACAAAAATTTTAAAATGTTTTAAAATGTAAAATCAAAATTTATTTTCAACCTTAATAAATCATTTAAAATTATATTTATTTGATCATAACATAACTGAAAATATCATGCAGAGTCGAATATGCATGTCGTCCATAATCACTAGAATGAGAAATGACCAACTATTTACAAAATCGGTCATATCGTTATTAATCAAAGGTCATTGCAAAGTGTTAGTCATTAACAATCAATGCGACATCCGCTGGAATCTAATTCTTCCAGCCAAATAAACTAAATTCTCGACTAATTTATGACTATGAAATTAATTTTAATTACAAATTTAAGCAGGGATCATTGTGAAAGTCTTGCAATTTGTATCAATTTCTGTAATTTAAACAAAGAAATAAATTTAAATTTCATTTTAATTAAATGCTAACAGAATTATAAAATAACTTATCAAAAAAAAAAAAAAAAAATTATTTTGAACTTAAATGACATTTCTATTTGCAGTGCATGTGATCTGCTCACACCTTGCCGTCGTCATTTAACAATTTAAGCAAAAAGAACTTTAAAAATTTCACTTTGGAATATTTAAAAGACCAAACTGATAAAAAATGAGACCACCACCTCACCTCTTTTTTTTATTATCATCATTTTTTTTATTTACTATTTTTTATTTTTCTAATTTTTTTTTTTTTTTATTATACATACACTTTACAACAGACCAATGTTTTCATTTGATTATTAGGTAATGAAATAAATCCGTTTAACATTACCAATTTCAAGCCTCACTTTATTATGACATATTCGTCTATAGTCTTCTGTCTTGGAGGACCAAATCCCAAACCCCAGTTGACGGTCCGACGTAATTTGACATGACCTTACGGCCTTCGTCAAACGAGTTGCATAATAGTGGATTTTGAACAGCTCAATGAAAATGGGAACCAAGTCATCTACTACCAAAGTCGGAATTACAAATATGTCGGAGAAAGCTAAATGCTTGCAAGATAATGTGTCTGTTATAAATAAATAAAATGACGAATACTATTATTATTATTACAAAAAATCTAACACTTAAAAAGTCAAAGAGTGAAGCAGTTGAATTAAATCCTTGCTGAACACCACCGGTGCTGAATTCATCAAAATTGAAGTGATACAGCCAAGCATTACGCCTAAATAATTAAGTTGCAATTCAAAGCAGCATAACAGCCAAAAAAATCCACTATTCCTAGAAAGTTCAATCTGCATTAATATTAGATTTAAGACTGAATGTTTCGTAAAATGTGAACCGAGGGAAGTTAGGCAATGAATCATTAAATTTCATCTTATAAATGTTTCGTATAATATCAATTGATTCAGATAATGAAACTTAACTATTACATACTTCTCTCAAAACTTTACTTCGCCGAAATAACTATTTATTACAAGTACCGATTATCCTCCAACTTAAAATTACTATTTTACATGTTTTTTGAAAAAAGCTTTCAGAAAAAAATTATGCTTCAAAGTGCTAAGGGAAACGAAGATCAAATAATCTAACCTATTGTGAGAAAGTTTTCTAGAAAATTCCAAGAGAAGGAATATCGATTGCCAAAAACCAATCGATTGGTAACCAAAACTGCATGAGATCCAAGCAAAAAAAAAGAAATAAAATAAATAAATAAAAACAAAAAGACACAAAAAAGAAACAAAAGAATGATTGATGATGATGATTTCGATAAGAATGAGACGTTGGTCATGGTCGTTTAATAGAAATACATGTAGAAATAACATCAACATAGTTCACAGTAATATTTTTGTTTCCGAAACTGTACTTTCCTTTGTGTTATTCAAGTAAATGAGATTAAAGGTTGTCTTTATTTTAGTTCGAAGAAGTTTCGGTAGAATTTATACTTTCTAACTTAACTGCTCACGTCCGCTTACGCCGTCAACTCTGCTTTCCGATCAGTCTAATCATAGACAGGATAGCAGTTTTCATAACATTTAAAAGAAGGAAATTCGCAAATGGTACGTGAACCGTGAACCATGAAACGCTATGGACGTAGCTAACAAATCATATTTGAAATTTTGAACAAAATTAGATATGAAGGGACGGGGAAATGGAACGAAGTGGGAAATAAAAGTGCTAATAAAATGAGTTAGGTGATTCATCGAGGTAAAAATAATAAAGATTAACTGAAATTCATTTGATAGATTGAGATAGACAATTGAAATTCAAATAGAAATAGTGGAAACTGTTCCTTTGTTTCTTTGATATTTCACGTATATTTGATTTGACTGTGAAACGTTTTATCGTTTCTTTCTGTTTCTATAAACAATTATTTCTCTGTTATTAATCTTTATTTTCTTTTCGTTGTAATCATCTCCGAAATTTAGGAATTTTAATTTGAGTAACTGATGCACTATCCTAATCTTTACTATAGTTATAGGAAGTTGCCAATGTTAATTTTACTGTAATCTTTCAGCGATTTTTTTATAAATTGAAAGTAAAACAGATGAAATAACAGTTTTGGAAGATTTAATGATGCTTAGTTGAAATAATAATTTGGTGACAAAAAAATGTTTAGATGACAGTAAAATTTTCGGATTCTAGGCGATAAGAGAAAACTTTGAATGAAAGCACAGTTTGAATTAAGAAAGTATTTTCAAAGTGAATGATAAGAAACTGTAGTTAGGAAATATTTATAGTTAAAGTGAAATAAGTCGTTGTATTATTACATAGAACATATATAGGTTAAGTAAAAAATAAGTGTATCAGTTATATATAGAAATAATAGAATTAATAAACTTATGCACAAGAAATGAAATAAGTAATAGAGTTATCGTATAAATATTAATTAATAAACAAATGCAATTACAACTGGTTGAAATATTTACAAGTGGTATTTGATGGCTCACGGAGGAAGAGAATAACTGTGATAATATTTTAAGGATTTATGTTTTCTTATATCATCAAAAATCTTATGTGTTTCAGATTGAAATAAATGCAAAAGGATGAGCAAAAATTTATGGCAACTGCTGAATATTTTCCTGATGAATCGATTACACGAATCATTCTCAGCAATTTTTTAAACTATCATAATGTGAAACATTTTTAGATCGAGAAAAGAAGTAAGCGTATTGAAGAGGAGAAAAGGAAAAAAGAAAAAGAATGAGGTAAAATTTCTCTTTACATCATATTTCTATGATCCTGAATTTGAAACTGAAAAGTTGGTAACGCAGTGTCCTTTTTTATTTTCCTTTTAAAAATTTGAAATTTCACAAATAAGGATGTCTTGTACAGGAATTAATTTTGTTTTCACTCTGTTGTTTACATTTTCATATTATATTTACTGAACATGTAACAAATTATAATTATTGTTAACTTTATTTATTAAATCGCACTGAAATTTTGCTTGATTTTAATCTTTTTTTTTTTCTATTTTATAAAAGTAGTAAGAACTACGATAAAGTTTGTAAAATTCCTAAATATTTGTTATTCATTTATAAATTCCAGGACTTACGAGTATGTAGAAATATATCCTGGTCCAAATTTGAATGTTATTGTTGGACTAAATGGAACAGGTTTGTTTATTACTATTGCTGTTTAACTTAATAAAACATTCTAATCATTGGTCGAATCTCGAACTTAAGACGAGAACCGAACTAAGGTAATGTCAAGCTGATGTAATCTCCCTTATTTTGATATAATACTCTATTTTATTCTTATTTTTAAAGGCAAAAGCACAATTATGTATAGTTTATGTTTGGCATTTGGTGTTACTCCGAGATTATTTACTTCTAGAAAATAAGTATAGGGCGCAGTTATCCTTCCATCTCAGCAAAACTGCACGTACTATTCGCATTGAAGCATTCCTAAGGACACTCAAAGAGTAGTCCGAGTATGCGGAGAATGTGATAAGAGTGAGTGCTATCTGCGCACATCTTAATATTACCGCTTGAGATGCAAAACAGATATCAGTTGTTGGTGCAATTGTTTTGATGAACGATAAAATGATTAAAAGTACTCCGAGATCTCTCTCTGTCCTCTGCAAGTCGGGCAATCACTTCCCTTATCGTATTTATTCTTTTCAGCAAACAAAATGATGGGGCGCACTTATCCTTTTATTCAGCAGAACTGCACGTATGGTCGCATTAGAGCATTTCTGATAGTCTCAAAGAGTGCTTGAAGCATGTGCATATCTTAATATTACTATTTGAGACGCAAGTTGGGTATTACTTCCCTCCCCTACAAGTTGGGTATTACTTCCCTTCCTTCCAAGTGAGGCATTCATTTCCCTTCACAGCAAGTAAGTACTGCCCTTCATTCAATTGTATATTTTTTCTCTATAATACAATATTTATTCATTTTGGGGGCCATTTGTCCTTTTAGAGGGGTAGGGAATGGGCGTAATAATTAGTGCATTTATGATTTATTATCTAACTACTTAGAATTTTGGTGGTTTATTGGTTTCGTTATTTCTTTTAAATTTATATTGCGTGTTCAGCTTAATAATATTCTAAATATATTTTAGGTCTAAATGTATCTGACTGCCCTCAAATTCTCCCATTTCCATTCTTTTTAAATTTCAGATTTTAAATTAATTGAAGTCTGCTTTGAATAAGTTCTTTTAATCCAACATTCCTATAGCTTTGCACATATATTTTATACTTTTTTTTTTTCAGTTGAATTGCCCTACTTTTTGCCCTACAGAATATTTTGAACCATGCTGCCTTCTTTAGAAGTATTTCTGCCTGCAAGTGTAGTTCAGTACGTAAGGATTCAAAATTTGGTTTGAAATGTTTGTTGTTCTTCTACAAAAAAAAATTACGTCATTCTTACTGACTACGTAGTTCTTATCCTAATTTTATATCATTAATTAAGTTTGTTAATAATGCATAATTGCTAGACAAAATTAGCAATATCATGGCCAAGTTTAATTCACTGCAAAATTAGCAATATCACGGCCAAGTTTAATTCACTGCAGAATTAGCAATATCGTGGCCAAGTTCAATTCACTGCAAAATTAGCAATATCATGGCCAAGTTTAATTCACTGCAAAATTAGCAATATCATGGCCAAGTTTAATTCACTGCAAAATTAGCAATATCATGGCCAAGTTTAATTCACTGCAAAATTAGCAATATCATGGCCAAGTTTAATTCACTGCAAAATTAGCAATATCATGGCCAAGTTTGATTCACTGCAAAATTCTGAACGCTGATTTTTGTTCACATTAGTGACACTGAAAGATTGTAACGTTTTGTTTTCATTGTTTGTTTTCTTTTTTATTTGTATTTGCTTAATATTACTTAATTTTTCTAAAGTTTTCTTGCAATTAATTATGAAATAAATCACAATGATATAAATAGATATTTCGGTAAATAGGGTGGCTCTTTTACAAAATGGCGGGGAAGTACATTTGCATTTCTCTGTTTTGAAATTGAGTAAGCAATTAGATCGGAAGTGAGTTACAAATGTAATTAAGTATTGAAGAAACTTTTTCCTTATTTTTTTCAAAGTTTAAAAACTTTCCAAAGTTTCGGATGAAATCATTGGTTCGATGTGGCCTATTAGAGTCATTCATTACACATTGGTACTTAATTGATATTGAAATTTGTGATTGAACCCAGCAGCAGCAGGTCGGTAGATCATCATCTGGTAGATTAGGCAATAAAGAGCAAATAAAATTATGCTCAATCTAATTCACTTGTTCATAATGAGAATGGTGCATAGTACATGGCTAACGTATTCATTGCTTTAAAATTTTAGGTTTCTGATTTGCTTTGATCTTTGCTTTGTTTTGAAGCTAAGTTTCAGGGGGGTGGGGGAGGGGGCATCAATCTTTCTGTAATATTTGAAAGGAATTGGTTGAAATATTTTGTGATCTCAATGATCAATTTTGAAATGTTGGTAAGTTCAAAAATAAAAAATTAGGGAATTAAAATTTGAGAAAATTATTTCAACAAAACAAAAAGGGGATAAAAAAAGATTTAAATTAAAGAAAAAAAGATTCAAATTGAGTTATGAAGTACTCATGAGTAATCCTTATTTTTGCTTACTGAAATATTTGCTGGTCATATACCAAAGATGACAATAAATTCAGTTTCACTCATTTCCTACACCTCCCAGCTTCTTTCAAAATCTACATGTTCTTGTGTTCTAATAGGGAAAGGCCTTCTGTTTCCAAATTTAGACTTGAATCATCTTGTGAGGTATTCATACCATTCTATGAACGCTTGCTTTTTTAATTATTGTTTCAAAAAAAAATTTAAATGTAGTTTTGATAAATGCATGAGCATTCTTACATGAACACAATTTAGTGCATTTGTATTTTGTTTAATCATTGAATTATTTTATATTTCTGAAGGAACGATAGAAGGAGAAAGTGAGCAATTTATTTTAACATTTTTTTGCTACAAAAAGAGAAAAAAGAGAGAAAAGAAAGAGATTGTAATTTAGATGAAGAGAGAAACTTATCCCATTAAATCATTCATATAGAGTTTTGATGCTTCGATGGTAGGTCATAGTCTGAGGGAATATTTTAAGTGTATTTACAAGTTTAATAGATGTGTACATGGCAGCTCTCGTAACAGTCATCTTGTCATTTTTTATCTGTACAGATAGATGATATATGAAGATGTCAAATTGAGATATATCAGAGATTAGAAAGAGAGAGAGAGAGAGGACAAATAATATCTCTGTAGAAAACAAAAGGGTTGGACAGTCTCTGCTTGCAGTCATTGTGGGCGCAAGAAAATGTAGGGAGGTACTTCCTTTTGCTTTCCTTCACTTTCGCCATTTGTTTTTTTCTCGTAGTGAGATTGGATTGGGGAAGGGTATTAATATTTGGTATGAGTCATTTTAAGTAAATTGAAATGTACAAAAGCTTTTTACATTTATTTCTTGTATTGGATGAATTTCAAATAATTTTGTTAATTTTCAGATTCAGGAAGACCTTTAAGCTTTGTTTGTTTACAACGTTAAAACAAAAATGATACTAATAATTACAGTAAATGTATGAATTGTAACTTTTTCAGGAAAAATTATTATGTATATAAATTTGTTATTTGTTTTAAAATACGTTTAGCTATAAATTTCACTTGTAATATTCAAATTTTCTTTTTAAACTTTGGAAGAAAAAATTTTTCCAGATTTGCATTTATTTTATTGATTACTACAAATATAATTTGTATAAAAATGGTGTTATTTCTTAAATTTTCTTTCATTGCTGCAAAAAAAAACAAAAGGTATCGGTAATAGTACGGTTGTTTGTTTATGTTTGTTATGATGGAAAATGATTGCATGGATGGAAGATTGTCGCAACTGATAGAATCCATTGATGACAAAATTCGAGCAGTTGCCCTAAATGCTAATGTGTCATATGAAGTAATTTAATGCTTACTAATTAATTAATTGAATCAAATTATAGAAGAATGGTATCAGTGATAGCTTACGTGATTTAATGCTTAATATTTAATTAATTAAATTAAATTATAAAAGAATCATTTCGCTGATAGCTCATCACATGTTGTTTTCTTAACTTTGCCAAAAATACAATAGTGATTTATTAAGTAATAAATAAGTTTTAATAATGATTTTTTTTTTAAAGATTTATTAAGTTGCTTTTAATATATGAAAATTTTTGTACTAAAAGCATAAGAAAATGATGTAATTGTAATGAAAATGATTTCTGATAATAATCGAAATTTTCTTTTTTTCAACAAAACTATCAAAAAATCTGTTATTAGTAAATGTTTTTTTTCCCAATAATACCAAAACATTTTTTTCAATAAAATTAGCAAAGAAATATGGTATAATAAATTTTGAAGAACTTTGATTTGATAGAAAAATTGAAAAAAAAAGAAATATATACTTTAGTACTACCATTACTTAATAACTAATTGGTTATATTCAAAAAATTTTAATGTAATCTTAACAAAGTTGGGAGTAGAAAAGTTTTTTTCGTTTTTTCTTTCTTTTTCTTTATTGGAAGACCTTTTTTTTTGCTGAAATTCATTTTATTTTGCCAGAATGCTTCATGCATTAGCTTTTCCTGCTCATAATTTATTCAGTTATATTTACACTGATGCTATGTTATATCGTAAACAAATGAATAAATAAATGGATATTATATATCTTACTTATACTAAAGTAATTGATGATTCATAGGTAATTTTATAATTAATTAAGTAATGATGTTGCATTCATTCTTTTAAGTATATCTGATAATTTCAATTAAATTTTTGAAATAATTAAGGATTTACGAAATGGATATGTAATGTCATGCTTACATATCACTAAGCCTTTCGAGTATAACATTAGCGATTTAAAGGCAAAACAAAAGGTCTGTAATTTATGCTAAAATTTTTCAAGAAAAATTTGTAATGACATTGATTTTGCGAAAGAAAAGAAAACGTTTCTAACATTTCAAATTTTATTTATTAAAATCAAAAATTAATTTCTGAAATTTGAGATAAAATCTGAAGTGGTAACAGGAACAGAAAAATACAAAGATAAAACGATAGAACAGCCTGCAGTTGATGATAATATCACTATACAGGTACAAGAATACAATATGTTGTCAGTGATTGGAACTGATAAGAACATCTTTAGCGTTTTTGTCACATTCACTTTTAATATTATTATGCTACTGCAATTTGTTTCACTAGTTATGTCTTTGCATTGAATGAATATTTTCATTTAAAATAATAATAATAAAAAAAGCAGAAAATTAATATTTTTGAACAAAATTTAATTTAAAAGAAAAAGGATAAAATTTAGAAGTGAAACATTTCAAATCATTTTAACCTGTGAATTATAATTAAAACTGCTGCTAAACATGCGAAGTACTTGAAATACTTGAATCTGCAACAATGCAAAAATTTGGTGAATATATTTATCAAGGTGAATATATCAAAAGTAATGGGAAAGAGAAATTAAAAATATATTAATAATATAAAAATTAAAAAATAGAAATATACGAGAATGGAATGATGCTAAAATAAATTACAGGATGAGAAAAGTGATAATCAATTGAGAACTTATCAAAATATAACGATTAGTAATAAAAAAGGTTAATTATAAGAATTATTCTTATTCCAGTTCCTTTTACGTTTTTTTTTTTTTTAAAAAAATTTTAGTTCATACAAAGAAACAACAACGAAATGAATTTGATTATAAATTTGGTTATGGCATTAGTAGCAAGCGTAAATCATTTATGCGTCAACGAAATCAGCAAAATTTTTGCTTTCGAAATGGTTTGCTAAATAAATAACTTTTTTAAAAAACTATTAATTATTATCAGAAATATTTTTGGAATTTTAATTTCATTTATCACATTGTAAATAAATGATTTTTCTTAATGATTGATAATAGATTTTAATGATAAATGATTTTATGATAAATTTGATAGCCTATCATATATTTACAAATAAACAAATAATACTTGTAAATTGGATAACTTCGTGTTGAAATAATATAATAGTAAGTAAAATTTTAATAAATATAATTAGTAATATAGTAAGAAATAATTATGCAATTTAGTAATGAAAATAATTTAGTACTTGTAATAATTTTTGTTTCCCAATTCAAGTTCGAGGTTCAAATATGTTACCATCAGTCATTTCTGCTCCAATTAATACTGCTAATCGAGTTCGTCCCGTAGGTTTATTCTTCTAATTCGTTGAAGCCATCAAATTATTTTTATGTATTTTATAGAATTAAGTACTAAATTTAGGAATACAATATCGTTGATAATAATCAGTAATATATTATGTTTGTTGACAATATAAAAATATTTTTAGTAATTAAGAAGTATCACTAATAATGATTTGAAAATATCTTTGATAATAATACAAAAAATATGGCTGGAAATTATCAGTGATTTTAGTTAAATTTTTTTCTGCTTACAAAAAACTTTAATTTCAGTTTTTTTTATCACACAATCAAAATACAAGGCTTGTACACGATAATTTCATTTAATTTTTTATCATTTCCAATTATTTCATTTTAATTTAGTATAAAATGGATGATAATAAATCTAATGGTAATAATGAATCGTTGCAACCAAAAGATTCGAATAATAAAAAAGTAACAAAGTTTATTTGTGATATTGAAGGTAAATATTCAGCAAAAATGTGTGATTTAAATTAGGAAAGCTAGAAATTACATTACTATCATTGCACTGCATATTTAAAGTATGTTAGAGAATTTTAAAATCACACAAATTTAGTTTGAATTTGACAAATTGAAAAAAAGAAGATAATAAGCACCTAATGATTATAAAATTATTAACTGTTCATCATCAATTCATCAGAAAAGAAAGGAGAGAGAAAGGATATAATTTTAAATATAATTTAAAATTTGGAATAAAATTTTTCTTTTTACTTGAAATAAAATTAAGGTAGCAGATGGCTTAAATAACAATTTTGATTATCAAATCAAATTTAAAGCAGAAGAAAATTAAACGAATAATTAAACATATTAGTTTATAGTTTATTAACTGGAAAATAGCTAAACTATGATTAAAATATTCAAGTATTTCAATTTAAACACTTTTAAAGCTATACTGAAAGGCTACAATCACATCAAATTCCAATCAAATGATAAAAAAAAGAAAACTAAATTATATGATAAATTGACTATCCTTCAGAAAGTTTTTAAAAGTAATATGCAATTTCAGCAGCATTAGCAGGTGAAATATCTGATATGGAAGATGAAAGAGGACAAGTCAGCACCGATAATAATAAATTTAATAAAGTAGAGACAATTTGCTTCCTTTTTTTTTGAAAATTAAAATATTAAAACAATTATATATTATTATGTCAAATCAATCCAAATTATCTCAAATTTTCTTTTCTAATCAATTATAAATAAACTAATTAACCAATGTTATAAAAATTTCATGAATTAAAGAAAAAATAAAATTTAGTATATATTAAAATGAAACAAAATTTTGTATGATTCATCTTATTAATATTTACAAAGTTATTAATATTTTATCTGTTAGAATCATTATTTTATCTCGTTAAAAGCGAACCAATTTATTCTGATCAGTTTTCAAAAATTAATTTTCAAGTTTTAGTTATCAAATGATGATGCTGAAGAAACCATAAGGAAGGTTCAAGAAGAAACAAATAGAAATCATTTAGAAGCAATAATTGTTCGTTATCCTAATGGGCAATCATTGGCACTTAATATCATTCATAAAGTAATTATTTCACTTAATAAATGAAACTAATAAGATTAATCACACTAAAATTCATAAAATAATAATTTTACTTAATTAATCATATCAAAATTTATAAAGTAATCATTTCATTTAATGTGATTAATCATATTAATAAAAATCAATTATTTATTTTACAATTTTTTACTTATCTAAAACTGAATTGAAAATGAATGAATGAAATGTTGCAGTAATTATTATTGACCTAATTATTTCTGAAAATTATTGTAAATTTTAAACTGCCAACAAATAAGTTTTGTATTTGAATCTGTGGAATGATTAATCTGATATTTACTAATCTTAGGTATACGTTGTCCACTTAGAGGATACTTATGCATGGGTTCGTCTCTCCGATGACATTGAACCACCGTGTTTTGATCATGTATACGCTGTAATGAAAGAGACACAGTCGTTACAGTGGGAGGAATTGTTACCTGGAACACCGTGCGTGGTACTTGCACGTTTCAGTTCACGCGATATCGTTAATGATGGAACAGCACGTGAGGTCACGAAGGTTTGAATAAACCGATTTATAGCTTACAACAACTGAAACAATATTGCATAGAAGTTTGAGTAATGTATTATGCATGTAATATTAGCATAATATATAATAATAATAACTAATAATAGCTTAATTGATATTAGTTGATTAACTAATTGATAGTAATAAAATTAATAATAATAACAATAGTAATAGTAATGATAACAATAGTGATAGTAAATATTGGCAATAATGATGATAATAATGGTAACGATAATGATAATGATAATGGCAACAGTAATAATAATAAAATAATGACAATAACAATAAGAGCTATACTATTACTACTGTTGCTATAGAAATATTTATATTGTTATAATTTTTTAACAAACATTTATCAATCAATGAAAGCCTAAATATTAGTTTAAAATGAGAGCCAAGAAAATTAATATTTAAATTATATTTGGTTTGATAAAATTAGACTAAATAAAAAATTGTTTATGACAAACTTTTAATTGTGATAATAACTTTAAAAATCGAATATTACTTGTAAAAATATATTCCTGATACAATGCATATATATGTAAAATTTTTCCTTTCCTTATTCCATTCAATAATTTTGATATAATTAATACTTTTAGTTTGAGTCATATGCTCGTGCTATTATTGAAGAATGTCACAATACGTCAAAAACAGTAACCGTTCGTCTCGTTGATTTCGGATTTCGTCTCACGCAATTAAGCGTCACAACTATTAAGCCGCTAACAATCGCATTTGACGGACCACCGCTAGCATTCCGATTGCTAATTAATTCATTACCAAAAGTGATGTGATAACTTTGATAATACTTTCATAATTAATTATTATACATTTGGTAACTAAAGTTAATAGTTACATAATGAATTAAATTAATAGTAAAGTAAAAAGATAATAATATATTTTTTTGGATGATTGAAAGAATTATCATTATCAGATTTAGTCTCACCATAACTTTTTTTTTTCACTAAAACACAAAATAGAAACAACTTTTCAAAATACTTTATCTAGTAAAGAAGAAAATTTGAAGTTTTTTCCTTTTTTATTTTTGGTTTTAAAGTAATAATTTTAATTTAAATTTAGCAGCAAAAAGAAACTTTATGTCGATATGCAACACTACGTGTTCGACTCACAGTATCACATGAAAAGCAATTTTTGTGTTGGTCAAAAACTTGGGAAGCAATTGATATTAGGGTTAACAGAAAATTATTATACACGTAGCATAAATTATTGACAGATAACGTGAACGTCAACAAAATTTTCACGTTATTTGTAACGTTAGAATTATAAAATAATACCGCGAAATAATTCAAAGTTTTAAGTGAAAATTTTTAAGTAAAAATGATAATAAAATTTAAATTATCAAAATATTCATTCTGCCATATTTGAAAAATTAGTACAAATTATTTTATTGATAAAATCGTTTAAAAATGATTTTTAATGATATTTATAATGAAGCTATTTCATCTAATTTATTACATTTCTCATCAATTAGTTAAAGTAAATTAAAATAGAATAATTTCAATTAATCAAAACCTGCTTTAATGTCACAAATAAGTTAACAATTACAAATTTATTAGTTAATTTGCATTGCAAGTTTTATTTTATATCTTAGTTTAATTTAGAAAGAAAATTGGATTAATTGTTCGTCAAGCACAAAATCATTTGAAATGTGCAATTTGAATGATGAACAACAATGCGGTGAGAATAGTACATACTCGTTTATGATAATTAATCATTCTTAACATAATGAATTGACTACTTGATCTTGTCAATTTCAGGTTTAATGATATTTTCTTTTCGTTTTTTCTTGGCTTAATAAGAAACACAAAAGAGGCCATTGGGCATGACATATTGAGGCTGTATTTATTAGTAGAATAGCTAGGCATTATTTAAATTTAGCTTACTTAACATTATTAATATTCAAATAATCCGTTATCATTTTTTTATTTCTCTTTTGAAATATGTAATTTGAGTATTGATTATACTGAAATTTCATTAGTTTTGAGAAAAAGAAAAAAGAGCTAATAGTTTTGTTATTAAACTAATAATAGCCAAGGCTAAAATGTAGAATAAAGGTTAATTAGAGCTTAGACTAATGGCTTTATTTATTCTTAGGTAACTTTTTGGCAAATAACAATCGTATCAGACAGCAAAATTTCATTGCTTTTATATAATTCAAAAAAAGAAAATGAATCTGTGATGAGGAATAATATTTATTTAATTCATTAACTATTGAAAAGAAAAATTTATGCAATAAAAAATTTTATTTCATAAAACTTAAAAAAAGTTTAGTAAAATTAATTAAGATTTTTTAAAATTTGATTTATATATTCATATATCTGATAAATAAAATCATATTTAGTTACTTCAAAAAGAAAAAGAAAATAATTGTGGTAAAAATTATATTTAAATTTTTGTTATTTCTAAAATAATTTTATAAGTTTATCATTAGTTATTTTCTTTCTTTTTTTTTTCCATTTTTTATAGAGATTTATGATTTTTTCATAATTTATAAATTTATCTTTAGATTCCAATAAATGTTTAAGTCAGTTAACGCGTGATCCCATTACGGTAATTTAATTATTTAATTTAAAATTATAAATTCGGATATTAAAAGATTATAATATGGAAAATAGCAAGAGAAAACAAGAAAAAAAATTAGAAATGCATCTGAATAATTGGTATTTTGATAAAATTTTTTCATTTAAAAACTATTTATTAATTAATAAAATGTAAATTTCGCGATCAAATGGTAATTAAGTTTTTATTACTGCATGCATACATTATTTTTAATTTTGTATAATTTGTTGAAAATTGAGAATGATCAGCCAAAGAGTATTAAAAAAGATTACATAGAAGTGCTAAAGAAAGAAAGCGAAAAAAAAGGTAATTAAATTAGCAATATTTGCAGTATTTTTATTTAATATAATTGTTAAATTAATATATTATTTTTGCTTATTAGAAGGATATTATTCAGATATTAATTTATCATATTAAGTTATCATTAATAAGATGTTAAGATATTAATTAATTAACTTTTTATTACTAAGATACTAATTCATTAATTTGTCATTTTCATTTTCATTATAATTTCCTATTTTAACACTACGTTATTAACATATTTATCATTAAATTATCATTTTATGCTGCTTAATCATCATATAATTCTTATAATTAATGATGATAAAATCATTAAGATTATTTGATAAATCAATTTTATTCTAAAAAATTTTATTTGACATTTACATATTATAAAATTTGCAGGGAAAAAATGGCAAGCAATAAAAGTGAATTCAAATGGATGTAACTATCGAGAAAATTCTAATCACCGCGGGAATTCTAATTACCGGCAGAAATCAAATCATCGCGGGAATTCCAACCACCATAAAAATTCTGATCACTGGATGGATTCTATTCATCGCGAGAAATCAGATCATCGTAGGAATCCCAATTATCGTAAAAATTCTAATTATTATGGGAATTCCAGTGGTTGCGAGAATTCAAATCATCGCGGGAATTCTAATCATATCAAAAGTTTCAATCATCGGTCAGAATTTTGATAGTACTGCAATTGAAATAAAAGATTAAAGAAATTTTTTTTTTTTTTTCATTCCTTAATATTTATATTTTATAATTTATTTATTAGTTCTTTAACTTTTTTGAATTCATAAAAGACTATTAATTGTGATATTACTTGCACATCTGTTTTGTTATGTTTTATTCATATATTATTATTAATTTAAAAATTTGAATGAAAGTTACACTTTTTAACTTTTTTATAATTTAGATTTTGTTATATTTTTTTCTTCTCAATGCCCATTAATTTGAATATGATATGTAAATTTTTCATCAGTTTCATTATTTATAAAGTTTTATGCAGAATAATTAATTATGAAAAAAATTTTTTAGATTGTGAAAAATTTTTATATCATTTAAATTTTAGCTAAGTTTGATATTATTTTTTTGAAAAGCATTTGACACTTTTTTTTTCCAATTAATCCATTTGTAAAGTAATTTTTAGTTCTTATGTTGCTGAAATTTTAGAAAACAGAAGATATTGTCGTGTTAGATGCGCAAATGTCATCTTCATTGATAAATGCTCTACATTTGTGTCAAGATTTTGATTCAATTTAAAAATTCATTTTTTTTTCACTCTTAAAATTACAATCATTCTCATTCTGCTTCTTTTTATGCAATAAACTTTCTATGTTTTACTTCAATATTTCGTTATGGAGAAGAAAAGTCAGGAATTTAGAATTTATTGTTAGTGCGCCAGAAGTTTTTGTTCAAGAAATGAGTATAATTTTGAGCAAATGTTAATAATTTTATATTAGTATTAAACTTTTATTTCAATGAAAAATAAAATTTAGCATATTTAATTAAAAAATTTTTCATTTTTCAACAAATGTCCTTATGTAAAAATCTAAAATTAAGAATTTATATAAATTAAGAAATTTTTCTAACGACTAATTCACTTGAATTTATCTAATAATCAAGAAATAAAAACGATTTTTTTTTTTAAATAGAGCACTTCAGAAGCAAAATAAAAATAATATGAACCATAATTATTCGTTTAACTTTTTTTGTAAGCTAGAATTTTTTTCTCATTCGATTTTATTAATAATTGATAATTTAATTAAAAAAATTTATTTCAGATATTTTACTATAATAAATTTTTCAATGCAAATTCACCACTTTTTTTCTTTTTGATTAAATGATAAATTTTAAGTATTAATTAAAAATAATATATTATGTGAGATTAAAAGAAGAGAAGTGCAATAAAAGATTTATTGAAGAGGTCACAAAATCTGATATCACAAAAGATCAAATTTATAGTACCATGAAGAGATAAGATGAGAAAAGGAAAGAGAATAGGAATGTATTGATGAAATAAAACAATGGAAAGAGAAAATTTTAAATTAATTTTGATTAATTTCCGTTTATTATCATTCCATTAATTTTCCAAACACAAAATTTTATTGTTTTCGCCCGCAATAATCTAATTCTTTCTTTCTTTCTCTCTCTCTCTCTCCCTCTCTGTCTCTCTCTGTCCCTTCATTCATTTATTCGAGATTATAAGGTGAAAGTCTTCTTGCCGTAAGGGACATATCAAATGTCACATTTAGTGTATACCAATGGATTACACCGTATATTGATAGGGAAGAAAAGGTCAGAAGGATGACTTACATCTAAAAAAAAATTTTAAATAATTTAAAAAATTAAAATTTATCGTTTGTTATTACTGTTTTGATTTTATTCTTTCTCTTTAATGCTTATCAAGTAACAGTACTAATATCTGTTGTCATTAGTAAGTAGTAATAAATAAATTGTAAGTAGTAAGTACTAGTATCAGTAAATAGTAAGTAGTAATAGTAATAGTATTAGTAGCGATTAGTAATTAGAATAGTAATGGGCAAAAATTTTTCTTTATTTTTTCTGATATATTTTTCAAAAAATTTTTTTATATATATTAAAAATGAAAGGGAAGAAAATTCATTAACGAATATTTGATCACTCATCAAAAGACCATTCAAATCTTTTCAAGCAAATAATTGACAGTTTAATGAATGAATCTTTTAAATAATTTTTGAAACTGATCGGAATTTAACAGTGATGTACAATTTGAAATACATGCATACACACATACACAGATATTGACGACAGAACCGGATATCAATACTAATGTTATTGTATGTGATGAACTGACCCTGTTTCACAAAAATGTCCAATTTGAAAATCCAGAAATTAACACCTTCATTATCTTCACCATCATTATCATTATCATTATCATCATACTATCATCGTCATCATCATTATTACCCACAAATTAACACCATTATCAGTTTCATCATCATTACTATTATCTTTATTATCATCAATCAATTAACATTATTAATTTCAGAAATATTTGAATGAATCATTTAATTACATATAAATTTTTCTTTCAACTTGTAATTAATATATTTCTGTTAAAATATTAAAAATGCTGTAATGCGACATTTCGGATACATTAATGCATCACAACATAATATTTATATTTTGTTAACAGATGCAATGATAATGCAAAATTACAAATTAACATATGTACTAATTAATTGTCTTATATTTTGCATTCAAATATTCATTAATATATTCATAATAAAATTTTTTCAAATTAAATTTATATGATATAAATATCAATAAAATTTTACAAATCACTGAAAAAAACAAAAAAAAAAAAAACAAAAATAAAAGAAAAAGCATTTTATTAATGAAATAAAAGAAAAAAAAAGCAAATGAATTTGTTTGCTTTTTTTACAAATCAGTGAAAAAATAACTGTCTAAAAAAAATAATTTTTCAGATAATTTTATTGCCCATCATTAGCTTGTCAATCAATTTTAGACATGCTTAATAAAATTCGAAAAACTTTTCAAACTTAATTGCTTTATTTCAAAACATACTACCCTATGCAGAAGCAAAAAACTGATGCATTCAATTAATAAATTATTTCATTCATTCTTATTAATTTAAGAAAAAAGTCTTTTTTTAATTAAAAATCTCATTTTAAAATAAATTCATTAATAATTCTTTTGCCAATGAAAATGTTAGTTTAAAATCTCATACATTTTGCATTTATATTATTTAAAAAGTTGCGATATTGAAATGCAATTACGAATATACTTTCTGCATTTTTACACAAAAACTCCGCCGCCCTCCGTGGGACTCGAACCCACGACCCTCAGATTAAAAGTCTGATGCTCTACCGACTGAGCTAGGAAGGCCCCGGACTATCGCGGGAAAATTTTTTGTAATTTTAATTTCGGATTTAAAAGCTAAAATTAAATTATAATGGCTAACAAAGAAAATGGTATAAAAGTTAATTAACTTACATATATATGTTTGTTCAAATCAAAAACAATAAAAAGAGATGAAAGAGATCAAAAAGAAAAATCAATGTTTTAAGCTAAAGAATGCTTCTGTTTATTCCATATGCTTAATAAAATTTCAAAACTTTTACTGAAAAAAGAAATTTTTTTTTTTGATATGTTTAGTAATATTAGAAAGAAAAATTATTGCTAATTGGGAGAATATGAAATGAACAAAAAGTTTAATTTTTCTAATAAATCAAAATACTAAAATATCTCAAAAAAAAGTATGTTTTTATGAAACAAAAGGAGAAAAATAATGAAATTAATGCAAGCAGAACATTCAGTACTATCTTTGAAAGATGACTAAACTATTAATAATCATAGATATATTTAAATAAATTATTATTTAATCAAAAATGAAAACAAAAAAAAAAAAGGAAAAACCAAATTGCTGTAAATCATTTACTCCATGTAATTTATTGGTAATATAAAAAATTGCAAACCTCAATAAGTATAATACTTTTAAAGCTAACTTTTCATTTTTTTTTTTTAGTTGTTTTATTTATTATCCAATGCGTTTCAATAATTATTTCATCAATTTCATTTGATAATTTTGCTTGCTTTTCTTTCTTAATATGCTAATAAATTTCGACTAAAATATAAATATATAAAAAAATATTTATTAAAATGTAAATTATATTAAAATTATTTTAAAATATAAATACAAAAAAAAAGCATTCGCTTTTGCAAAAAAAAAAAAGATTCATTAAAATATTATCTATTATTTTTATAATTCTTAAATTAATATTATACACTTTTTCAAACATAAAAAAAAAAAATATTCATTAAAATATTATCGATTATTTTCATAGCTGTTTGTAACTGATAAATTTAATTTTTCAACATTTTTTAACAGCATTGTAAGAGAACTGATGATACATTTTCATTATCATTTATCATTCATTCAAAACAGGAATTGAAATGTTTCAATAAATAATAACGGATATGGGATGAAATATATTAGAATTATTCATATCATTCATGAAAGACATCAAAAAGGTCAAGCAATAATAAAATAGGAAATTAAATTTTGATTGATAAAGTATTCTGTTCATAAAATGTGGTGTGTACAGGAAAGATTCCAAATATCCTAAGGGAATAGTTTAATCCGTCATCAAACTTTCGCCTTTCTGCTTTCTTTTCATAATTGAACAGGTAAAAGATATGAAATAGGTATAATCTTTGATGTCTAATTTAGGTCGATATCACATTTTTCATACCAATCTTTTTAATCATTACCGTACAAATTTATAAAATTCATTTCACCGATCATCAACAACATCATTCCCTCTTTCCATCCATTCATCCATTCATCCATTCGTCCATTCCTCCATTCTTTCATTCTTTCATTCCTTCACATCATCACTTTTACCTCTTCATCATCTTTCATTCTTGCAATCTTTTTCATATTCACAAGATCATGACACCTCTTCCCGCACCTATATATACTGTTTTTCGCTAAATTTCAATTTTAATCATATCATTTTGAATGGTATACATACATTCTTTTCTCTCTTTATTTACACTTTTATGCATAAATAAACGAATAATTTTCATCGTTAATTTTAAGCGCTAATTTTTTTTTTGTCTTTTTTTTAGATCATTAAAATTGATCATCAATAATTCAATAATTTGTTGCAATTTCAAATTAATCATTTTGCTAATTCTATTATTCCAACTATTTTCATCACTAATCACTGAGAAGAAATCAGGAAGAAAGAAGCAAAAAGTAAAATGTTGCATATGCAAATTTGCTCATTTTTGTCATATATGATAATAGCAAGTATTAATGCTATTCCAATTGATAATGGTGTCGAAGGTGAACCTGAAATTGAATGTGGTCCAACATCAATCACTGTTAATTTTAATACTCGAAATCCTTTTGAAGGTAATTTGTTTCTTTTCTAACAATTTTTTAATAACTCTTTTATTTATTATTATTTTTTTTTTCTTTGTATAATCATTTTATTATTTTGATTATCAGTTTTTAAAAATATAACATTTTAATGATTAAAAAATAATCTATCATGGACAATCTAAATGAATTTATAAAATAATCATGAATGTAAGAAAAATTAGTACAATTATAATCTTACATAACAATAATTTAAAGAAAAAAAGAAACCATAATCAGTTATAAATTAAAAAAAAAAATATAATCATGGAATAGTAATTATTAAAAAAGAAAAACCATATTAGGTATTAAATTTAAAAATAAAAAAAATTTTAAAAAAAGGAAGTGATAAGATTATTTATTTCAGGACATGTATATGCTAAAGGATTATACAGTAATCAAGATTGTCGTAGTGATGAAGGTGGACGTCAGGTAGCCGGAATATCATTACCGTTTGATTCATGTAATGTCGCACGTACACGTTCGTTAAATCCACGTGGAATATTTGTCACAGCTGTTGTGGTAATTACGTTTCATCCACAGTTTATCACAAAAGTTGATCGAACATATCGATTGCAATGCTTTTACATGGAAGCTGATAAGACTGTTAGCACACAAATTGAAGTTTCCGAAATGACAACCGTATTTGCTACACAATTGGTACCAATGCCTGTGTGTAGATATGAGGTAAAATTTACAAATTCACTTTCAATTTATATACTTTTTATTTTTTTTTTCTTTTAGTTTACATTATGATATAAAATTTTATTTTAAATAGTATACTATTATTTATAATTTCAATTAAAATGTTTAATTCTAATTTTTTAAAAGTTTTTTATTGTTTTACAAATAATTAAAATAGCACGGTTTTAGTTCAATTTATAAATAATTGATATGAAATGTTTTTATTCCTTTTATTTTTGTTTTTTATTATTTATTTATTTCTCTTTAGAACTTGAATAATCTTAATGAGAGTATATAAAATTGCAAATAACATTTTAGATTTCAAATTTTACTTTCGTTTTTTCCCCGAAATTATCAAATATGATTTAGATTCTGGATGGTGGTCCAACCGGACAACCTGTCCAGTATGCTAATATTGGACAACCGGTTTATCATAAATGGACATGTGATTCTGAAACAGTTGATACATTCTGTGCTTTGGTACATTCCTGTTTTGTTGATGATGGCAATGGTGACAGTATTAATTTAATTAATGAAGAAGGATGTGCTTTAGATCGATATCTTCTAAATAATTTGGAATATCCAACTGGTATAATTTTTAATTCAAAAATATTTGTTGGAAATTTAGAAAAAAAAAAGAGACAATTTTTCAAATTTATTCAAATATTATTAATCATTTTTGAATTTTTACATTCATTCATATTTAGTATTTAAAATTTAAATTGGCAGTTTAAATTTCAAATATAATTTCATTCAAATATATTTCTAAAATTACATTTTTTTTAATTGGTTAATTTTTAATTTTAGATCTAATGGCTGGGCAAGAAGCTCACGTTTATAAATATGCGGATCGTTCAGAACTCTTCTATCAATGTCAAATAACAATAACAATAAAGGAGCCAAATGGTGAATGTACTAGGCCGCAATGTCCTGAGCCACAAGGTTTTGGTGCTACTCAACGTCAAACAGTACGTCGAACTTCCAGGAAACGACGTGACACAAACGCTTGGTACGATTCGGCTAACACATTGGACGTAAGAACCGAAATGACCGCATTAGAGATAATGGACGAAACGGTAAGTAAAAGTAACGTTGTAAATTGAATCTAATATTTATAATTGAAATGAAAGTATATTACTGATAAGCTTATCATAATAATAACTAATTTTGTTTATTATATCAATGATTAATCTATTTATTTATTATATTTTGTCAAGTAATTATATTTATTCTTGTTTTCTTATATTAATTTAAGATATTATTAATTCTTTTTTTTTTTTTTTTTGTTACTAAAATCATTTTTAGTTTAAAATTAAATTTAGAAAATTATAAAATAATTTTTATATCAGTATAAAGAAAACAAAAAGCTAAGTGGAATGCATAAATAAAAATACACTTATTTAGATTTTTCGTTTATTAATTTAAAAGAAAAAAACTGAATTTAAAATTAGTTCTTTTGTGATTGAAAATACTTTTAACATTAAAATTTACTAAATTATGTAATAATTTTTCTATTTTTATAACTTTTGAATTTTTTTTTTAAAAACTAATTAAAATTTATAAAATAAATAAAATTTTATCTATTTTAGGTTGACGATGTATTGCAAAATTTGAAACAAAATAATAAGAAATTAACGGATTTATCATCGACACATATTGCATTCAATGAACAAAGTTTATGCTTTTCAAATATTGCATTTGCAATTGCAGCTGCAATCTTTGCAACATTACTGTGTGCTATTTTTATTGTTATTATTTTCTTTTATCGAGCAAAACAGTCTAAATTATAATTTATAAACAAAAATAAAACAAAAAAAAAAAAAAAAAGAAAGAAAAGTTAGCAATTCATTGAATTAAAGTAAACAAAATAATTCTTTTATATTTAATGCAAACATAAAAAAAAATTTTAATGCAAATTATAGTATAATAATAATTTTACAAAGGCTTTTTTCACTTCTTTTTCATTCTTTTTTTTTTTTTTTTTTTTTTTGAGAAAAATAATTTTATTGTAAAAAAAAAATTTAATAAAAAAAAAATCAGTTTTGTATAATTAATGCAATTAAATTGTTATAATTTTTTTTGATGTCTTTTGGTGTTTTTGCTCAAAATTTTCATAACGCATAGTTTTTATATAAAAATATATTAAATTTAATTAGTAATTATTTTTTGCTTCTTTTTTTGTTTCTTTTCTTTTTAAACTATTAGTAGCATATTTGTCTGAATGTGTGGTAATTATAATTGTTATATTATTATCATATCCATTATTATTTATTTATAAATTTTTGATATATATATTTACTTTTTAATTTTGGCAATTATCTTTTTGAAAATTTATTTATATCAACAATTTTGAATAATTTTACAACAATTTTATTTTTTTTTTTTTTTAAAATCATTTTTATTTCTTGTATCTCATATTCGTTTTGTTATCTTCATTATTCATTTTCAAAATTATTTATCATTTGCTTTTTGCACTTTTAATTTTTATGTTTGTTTCTTTGTTTCTTTTTTTTTTTTCAATTCATATTTCATCTGATTTTGTATTATTTAAATTTCATTAGAAAATTTCATAAATTTCAGTGTAATTCTCTTATTTCTCTTTTCATTTACTTATTTATATTAACTAAAATCAATTATTTTATTTTAAAAATTTTCCGAATCAAGAAATTTCAATTTAACATCTTTTTCTCGTCCTTTTCCTCTTATCATCACATTATCAATTATATCGTTTTAAAATCTCTGATTTTTCTTATCACATTTATTTCACTAAATTTCAAAATTTTCCTATAAACTATCACTTTTCATACATTTTTAGCATTTGTCCACCAATATTTTCCATTTTATATCGTTTCTCTCTTTAGTAATTTCATTATTTATTTTAATAATTATAAAAATAAATAAATTTTTCTTTCATAAATCCTACAAATAGCAAAAAAAAAAAAAAAAGAAATGAAGAAAAATTAATTCAATTTTGCTTTATCAACAAAACTATCATTTTTATCATTTGAAATTTTTATATTTAATTGATAATTTAATACCGTATTAGCCTTCATTTTCCTGTTAATTTATCATTTATCATTAACGAAACACAAATTATTTAAAATTTTCTTTTTTTGCCCTAAAAAAATTTTCTCTTTCCATTTTGCTCCCTTATTTCATCTCTCTCTCTCTCTCTCCCTCTGCCTCTTCCACTTTCTTCCTCTCTTTTTCTCCCATTTTTTCTTTATTCTTACATAATGGTTATTTTATTTGTAAATAATTTAATTTATCATAAAATGATAAAAGATAAATGTTTATCACATACCAATTAACATTACTAATTAAACTTAATTTTTTATTATTTTTCCTTTTTTTAATTTGTTTTGCTTCTTTTGGTTTCTTCTTTGTCTCACTTTCTTCTCTCTCTTTCTCCTCTCTCTCTCTCTCTCTCTCTTCTGATTATCAATAATTTTGAATTTTTCTGAAAACTTTTATATTTTCTTGTCATTCATTTTATGTCATAATGATTAAATCACTGTAAATTCCTAGAAATTTCACTTTTTGTTCCATACTGTAATTTGAATTATAAAATATTTAAAAATTTTAATTTTAGTTTTATTTAATTATTTGTTTTCTTTTTTTTTTTTTTTCAAATAACTGCAAATCTTTATCCTTTTTTGATGTATTTTTATCATTTTCTTTCTTATCTTATTGTTTATACATCAATTAGAAATGCTAGATCAATAAGAATTGCTCGTAATTTTTCATTATTTGACAAAAAATTTTTTTCCAATAATTTATTTATATTAAGCATTAAACTTCTGTCAAACTATTTTTAATCTCTTTTTTTTTTTCCTCAACTTTTTACAATTTCTCTTAAATCTCAGTAATAACAGTTAAGAGAACAACGAATAAAAAATAAAAATTTATTACGACAATAAATTAATAAACATTTAATACCGATGAATCATATTTTTATCATTTTCTTAAAAAATGTTTCAATTTACTTTTAAACAATCAAATCTTTTTTGAGATTTGATGACATTTTATTTATTTTTTTAAAGATATTTTACAAAAGAAAGCAAAAAAAAAAAAAGAAACAGGAAGTAATTTATCAATTATCTTCTTATCATATTTATTATCAATCGTTATCACAAATCATAATCATTGGTAATCGTAATATTGTTATTTAATCATTATAGCATTCTATTAAAATTGTAAAATGCTAAATTATCAACGATTTCTCAAATTATTGAAATCATCTTTTTTTTTTGTTTCATTAATTAAATGAATATTGTTGTTGTAAGTTATAATAAAGTAATACTGTTAAATAATATTTTGGTCACATAAAAATTTCCAAATCATTTTTCTTTCTTTTAATTATATAATCAATGTTAATTTTTTAAAAGAAAAGTTGAAAAATGAATTAAAAGTATTTTTTTATGAAGAAAAAAAATGAATGAAACAATTTTCAAAATTAATAATTAAGTAATTTTTCCAATGAAAATTTTCATTTCTTATTGCAAAGAAAAAGAAAAAAGAACGATAATAAAATTATTTTGTTTGTTTGTATTAAAATATATATTATTATTCATTATTATTACCTATTATTATTATTTATTATTATTATTGTTATTAATTTTCAACTATTATTATTTGCTCAATGAAACTTAACTGAAAAGGAAATAATAAACAAATAAACTAATAATTAATTGATTTACCAAACATATAAAATAATTTTAAAACACTACAAATTAGTAAATATTTTAATCAAAAAAAAAAGCGATTGTTTTAAATATACAATAAATTATTATTACAAATTTAATTTATTCCACAATATATAAATTTTATTAATTTTTACATGCAATGTGGTTTACATATATTTTAATATCGTTCATTAAATTATAAAATGATAAATTATAATGGAATACTTTTTAATATTTATTCATTTAAAAGTATGAATGAATAATTTTGTAAAAAAAAAATATTATTCAATTTGCTAAATGCATTAAAAAAAAAAAAAAAAAATTGACATTTTCTTTTGATCGTATATTTACTGCAAATTAACTTTAATGCTCTCATTTTTTATGATTCAATATAACTTATCAGTTTTTTTTATTTCTTATCAGAATGATAACAATTATTATTGTAATTATTTCTAATCAGCTGATTAATTCGAATTGATACATTACTCCCAATTAATCAATTACTTAATTAATTCAACATTAATATTTCAGGTATAATTGTTTATTTGCTTTTAATTTTGAGCCATTTTTTTTTCAATTTATTTATATTGAATAGATAATTTGTTTTTTTTTTTTTTTTTGTTTGTTTTAATTTCTTTGATTGATATTTTTCAATAAAAAATTTGTTTTTTTATTGGTTTTCGTTTTTTCTTTCCTTCCGTCTTTTTACCCATAAAAATAAATTTTTATGTGATTAAAGATCAGTGCTTAAAATACGAATAAAAATAAACAAAGAAAGAAAAAATAGAGACGAAATAATCAATTAGTAATCAATGATGAATCTTTCGTGTAAGCATTTTTGCAAGTTTATTATCATTTTGAATTAAATTATGTAAATATTTTGTAATATATCAATTTAAAATATATTTAAAAAAAAATTATATGCATATCAGTTTGAAATATTCTCAAATTATCATAAATTTATCAGCAAAGAACAGATGAAAAAAATTTAATACCACAAATTACATACTGTTTTTAAAATTTAGTAATAACTATATTATTTAAGCAGTAATGGTAGCTAATTTCAAAATGAGAATTTTATGATATTCAAGAAATGCATTTAGTAATTTCTAAAATTTGAAATATTCAAAAAGAAAGGGAACTAGCAAAATATTTTTTAAAACATTTTGAATGTAAATAATATTGTATTTTTATCAGTATTAATATAAAAATATGTTAATAGTATATTTATAATAATAATATATTAATATGCCAATAACATATCTCAGTGAAAAATTACCTGAAAATATAAATAAATGAAACCAAATATTAATTAATTATGTGATCATACATAATAAATATTATTGCGCACGTGAAAATTACGTAAGATTGCATGACTAATATCACTGCTACATAAGAATTACGTGGATAATATCACTACTACGTAATTCTTACGTAGCAGTGATATTTGATATTAATATAATAATATATTAATAATTATATAATCCATTTAGTAAAATAAGATTTCATTTTTTTGTTTTTAATAATGAGATTGTATATGATATGATATGATATGATATGATCTCTTATTTCAATGGAATTTTCTTGAAATTTTTTTTTCTTTCATATATAATACTTTATTACTTATTAATTTTATTCTTTGAAAACGTAAATTCGATGATTCATTTTCATTTTTTCTTTTACTTTTCTCTTGAAATATACTTCAAATGTATTTTATTTGTTTATTTTTATCAATCTTTCTGTTTTTTTTTCATTCCTTATTAATAACTGATTTGTTGATTTTGTTTTTTTTTTTTTTTTTTTTTTTAGTATGTCATTTTGTTTTTATCTTATTTTTTTCATTAATTTTATTTGTTAATTATTATCTCATCATCTTTTAGCATTTTAATTAAAATTTAATATTCCATCCTCAAAATGTGTACACTCTTATAAAAATTCCAACTAAAATTATTCATTTAAAAATTTTTGTTTAAAATTTATTTTTCTTTTTTTTTTCCTTTGTCTAAGATATTTTGTAGCAAATTCTTTTATTAAATCAAAATATTTAACAATTCATTGCAAATTACCATCATACTTTTAATTTATTCACGAAAAAATCGTTCGTATTTTGTTTTTATGTTGTAAAAAGAAAAAAAAAAAGTTATTGTAAATAAATTTAAATTTCATTTGAGAAAAATTTCAAGACACATTTTAATTGGTAATAATTCTATTTGAAATTCAAGTACTATTGAACTAAAATGAATAGTAATTTTAGTAATAAATTAATGTACTAATATTATTATTTTAATCATTTTATGTCGTATCGTTTGCGATTTTATGCTTGAATACTTTGTTTAAATACTTGAAATAAATTTTGAAAAGTGAAAGAAAAGAAAGGAAAAAAATGGTAGAAAAATGAAAACAATGTAAAATGAAATATAACAATTTTGATAAAAATGTTTTTTCTTTTTTTTATTTCGTTGTAAAATTTTTTTAAAAAAAAAAAACTTTTTATTTACATTTTATTGCTGTAAAAACACGCAAATTACATTTAACTTTCCTTTTTTTTTTTGAATTATCAACAATAAACATTGCGTAATTTATGAACAAATACTAACTTATCAATTAATTACAATGATTTAATGATTTAATAAACAAAAAGAAAAATAAATTACCTGTGAAAACGAAATTACCTTTATTAATGAGATATGTTTGTGATAATGAGATACCTTACATTTACATTTAACATTAATGAATTCAATTCAGATTTATAAGTATTAGGCCTAGAAAATATAGATTTGTGAAATAAAAATTGTACTATAAGAATAATTTGTGCAATTTAAAAAGAAGTGATTGCAATTTAAAATTCGTTGACAAAATTTAAATTAAATTAAACTTCAATTATCAAACCAGAAAATGAAATATTATAATTGTAAGTGTAATGGTAATAAATTAAAAATAAAACGATAAATTTAAAAAATATTTGCATAAATAAGAAAAGCAATTTCTAGAATAAAAAAAAAAAAAAGAAAATGAGCGATTAATTTTTTCCTCAAATAATGCATGATCGATCGGATTTTTTCATAAAATTTGAACTTTAGATAAATAAATTCTTATTAAACTTATTTATTTTGCTTCGGGTAAAAAAAAAATTGCAGAATATTTATTTGTGTGTAAATAATTTGTAGTAAACAATTAATAATTTTATCTCAATAAATATTATTTGTTTAGAAAAAATTATTTATTTGAATATTTTTTGGATATATGAATTTTTTTTTTTTTTTTTTGAAAAATTGTAGTAAAATTTAATTTTTTTATGTAGAACTTAACAATATTAGTAGTAATTCAATTATATTAGTTTATAATTTCTTTTTAATAATAATTATTGACTAAAATATATAAAAAATGAATGAATGAAGAATTGAATCGAAATATTTATTTTAACGATATCATTAATCATTATCATGATTACATTAATTGCTAATATTTTTTTAAAAATCTAAAATGATTTCATCTGATTAATGATTGTTACAATGTAAATTATTATTATTATTATTATTATTATTATTATTATCATGGCGAATGATAATTATCAATTATCAGTCATTTTTCTCCTAATTTTTAATTTGAAAGTAAAATTAATTTATAGTAGTGAAAATTTCAAAGTAAACAATAGAAAAATAAAAATGAAGAAGAAAAAGAAAGTAAAGGAAAGAATGAAGAAAGATGTCGTTTTAAATTTCCATCATTTATTTTCCTATTATCTTCCTCTTCCCGCTCTACCGATTATCCGTTGTAACCTAATCTTATCTACCTTTTTCTAATTTTTCTTTTTTTTTTTAAAATTTTTTTGAACGGCCTATGAAATGAAATGAAATGTCGCTTTCGCCTTCTTTTCATTGTTTTTCCTTTCCTTTTATTTTCTTTTTCTTTTTTTTTCTTTGAACTACAATAACTATAATAACAAAAAAAACAACAAAAAACAACAACAACAACAACAATAATAACAGCAATAATAGTAATAAATAGTAACGACAACAATAATGATAGCAATAGTAGTAACAGTAATAATAACAATAACAATGGAATTAAATTAATTAATCGGAAATAACAATGGTACCAATTTCTTAAAGTATTTTATCTTTGCATTGAGATTATATACCATTTCCAGGTTAGTTTCTAAGAGATAAGAAATGGCAAAAATCATGCAAATGGTTGATGAAAAAAATGGAAAATGAAATAAAAATCAAATTTGAATGCTGATAGTAGTACTGATTAAAATAGTAATAATAATAATAATAATAATAATAATAATAATAATAATAATAATAATAATAATAATAATAATAATAATAATGATAGAATATGACAGGTTAAAAGGATGAAAAGAGATAAATGAAAAGGCAATAATCATTTGATACGAATTTAACAAAACAAAACAAAAAAAGAAAACGAAGTTGAAAGTGATAAAAGAAAAGATAAAGATGTAGAACTGATAAGAAAAGAAAAAAAAAAAGTGAAATTTTCTTTTTTTGATAAATGTCACTATCATTTAACATGCATATTGGATATACGTATATGCGTAAATATTATTACACATAAAGATAAAAAATACGGAAAAGAAAATCGGTTATTTATTTGTTTATTTATTTATTCTTTCAACTTATATTTTCAGACTGCCAAGAAATACATATCAAAAAATGAAGATGAAATGAAAAAAAAAAGAAAAAGAAAGTGTCGTAAAAAGGGATAGTGATGGATATTTGATGAGGTGAATTTCTTTTTTTTTTTTAAAGGCAAATAAACAAAATAGGTGGAACTGATATGAAAATTTAACAAATTTAGAACCACCACAGTGAAACAATAGTTTTCCTTTTTTTTTTTTTTTTTTTTTTGTTTTTGTTTTCTTTCTTCGTCTTCGTTTTTCCTTCTTCATTCATTCAACCTTTTTCAATTTGATATATGAATGATGATAAGAAGAGAATGGGATAATTAAAATGACAAATAAAAAATTAAAAAAATAATTGATGAAAATAAAAACAAAAAAAAAAAAGAGAGAGAAAGAGAAATTAGGTCGATAGAATTAATGTATATCAAAAACAGGAAAGCTGGTTATCCAGGAAGGCGGGACAATATCCGCCCGATATTAAACCTATAAAAAGACTTCCAGAAATATCACAAATCATATCAACTTTGATAAGACCAATACAGGAACAACAACAACAACAACAACAACAGCAGCAGTGGGATATCAGTACTACTATTATCACTACTGTTTATTTTCCTATTTCCTAATCATCCTCATTCGTACAATCATTAATTAATTATGCTTCGATTAATTAGCATATTAGTAGCATTTATTACTGTTGTAAATGCTATTCCGGTTGATAATGGTGTCGAAGGTGAACCAGAGATTGAATGTGGTCCAACATCAATCACTGTTAATTTTAACACTCGAAATCCATTTGAAGGTAACAAATTTTATTTCTAATATTTTATTTTACAATAATGAATTTAATTTAATTATTTAAAATAAAAATTTAGTTAATAAATTTTTTGCCAAAAAAAAAAAAGAGAACAAAATGAAAATAAGTAAAAAGAAGATAATCTTTTACAAGATTACTAAAATTTATAAATTATCATTTGAATAATTATGAAATTTAAATCTTTTTGGAAAATTTTTTTTAATTTATTATTTCAATAATTATAAAATTTAGCTTAATGCAAATATAAAAGTAGGATTAATTATTAAAGAAAAATTCTCATAAATTGTAAATTATTTTAGGACATGTTTATGTGAAAGGACTGTATGATCAACAAGGATGTCGCAATGATGAAGGTGGACGACAGGTAGCCGGAATTGAGCTACCGTTTGATTCATGTAATGTCGCACGTACACGTTCGTTAAATCCACGTGGAATATTTGTCACGACAACAGTGGTCATTTCATTCCATCCATTGTTTGTCACAAAAGTTGATCGTGCGTATCGTGTACAATGCTTTTACATGGAAGCTGATAAGACTGTTAGCACACAAATTGAAGTTTCCGAGATAACAACAGCATTTGCAACACAAATTGTACCAATGCCTGTGTGTCGATATGAGGTATTTTCTTTTTTTTTTTTCTTTTTTATTTAAATTTAATTTGTATGAAATTTTCTTTTTATTAATTGGACTCAAAAATTTTTTGTTTTTACTAAAAAAGAAAAGAAAGAAAGCACATACTTTATTGTTTTCCTATTAATGAATATTACTTCATCCTTTTTTTTTTTTTTCCTTATAGATTCTTGATGGTGGACCATCAGGACAACCGGTTCAATTTGCTACTATCGGACAACCGGTTTATCATAAATGGACATGTGATTCTGAAACAGTTGATACATTCTGTGCAGTAGTACATTCATGCTTTGTTGATGATGGTAATGGTGATAAAGTAGAGCTATTAAATGCTGATGGTTGTGCTTTGGACAAATTCCTACTTAATAATTTAGAATATCCAACAGGTATGTCTTTTTTATTATTGTTATTGCTATTTTTTGTTATTAACAATAATATTTAAGAGATATTTAATAATTTTTGTTATGAAAATTAATAAAAGATATGGTAGATTTTATTTAATTTAAACATTTTTCAGATTTAATGGCTGGACAAGAAGCACACGTATACAAATATGCTGATCGATCACAACTTTTCTATCAATGCCAAATTAGCATAACAATTAAGGAACCAAACAGTGAATGTCAACGACCACAATGCGCTGAGCCACAAGGTTTTGGCGCAGTTAAAACGCGCAATGGTGTTGCAGCTGCATCACGACAAGCTGCTGCATTTAGAGTGCTGAAAAAGAGAGATGTAAGAGATGAGAATGTTGTTGATGTACGTACCGATCTGAATACATTGGATATAAATGAAGAGGTTTGTTAATAATTTGTTCAAATTAATTTAAAATTTTCAATTTTAAAAATAAATAAATATTTCCCTTTGCTTTAAGATATTTTTAAATACAAAAAAAAGTGAAAGTTAAATAATATAACAATTTTCCTTATTCGAATTCTCCCTCTCTTTTTTTTTATCTTGTTTTTATTTATTTTCCTTTTAGTTTACTTCACTGCCAAATGCACTACGTCATCGATCATCATCACTCTTAGCACATGAAAATGGTCATCCGGTAATTGTCGCAACAATGACACAAGGTATATGCATGTCAGTGACCGGTTTTACACTTGCCGGTATGCTAATATTTATTATTGTTTCTGTTGCTACCATTGTTTCCATTACATTATTACGATCACATTCTACCAAAGTTTAAAATGTTATTAATGATATTACGCACCAATGTATTATCATTATTTGCTAGTCTTTTTTAATTTGAATTTAAATTAAAAAAAAAAAATAAACTACAATGTATATCCAGGATAGTTAATCCAATGGATCATTGTAATTAACAATTTGTTCATTTTTCTGTTTTATCAATATCATTTATCAGTTATGAGTAAGCTCTATGAGCTTTTCTTTTTTCAATCTCTCTCTCTCTCCCTCTCTCTTTCTTCTCATCTCTCCCAATTTTTTCTGAGGAAAAAAAGAAAATTAAATAATTGCAATTTTTTCTGAGGAAAAAAAGAAAATTAAATAATTGCATTAAAATTATGAAATGTAAATTTTGTTTGCTATGATAAATTAAAATTCCACAATCATGTAATTGATTCCAAGAAAAGAAAGAAATGAAACTTAACTATTATTTTCTTTTTTCTTTTCTTTCATTTTCTGTTCCTTTTTTTTTTTTTTTATTTGTAATTATTTTAAAAAGAAGAACAAAAGTAGAAGAAAAAAGAATTTTATCCGTTTTTTTTATCATTTTTGTGTAGAAACTAGGAATTAAAGCAACAATGAAAAGCAAAATAAATTTAAAAAACAAAAAAAAAGTTAAATTTTCTTCAGTTTTTCACTCTTTCTTCATCCTTAACTTTAAATTGTATAAGCTCCAAACTTTATCAATCATTTATCTTCTATCATATCAAGATAACACGACTTCAAATTTTATAATATTAGTGTTGATAGCAATTTTAGTAAACAAAAATATTGGTATGATTATTATAGCTAGTTTTACTATCATTAGTATCATTAATTTCATTAAAATTATCAAAATTATGAACGGAGAGAGTTAACAATAGGATGCATCCTAATTTTCTAATTGAAAGTTGATTTTTTTAAGCTAAAAAAAATTTCTTTCTCCTCTCAGTTTCAGGCTATTTATTATCCGAAACAGCCATCTTCTGCTTTCTTTTTTCTTCGTTATTTGAAAAGCGGAAAATTTTCATGAATAAATTACCCAAGAATAAAACAAATCTCGGAATAAAATTAATTTTTAACATTTTAATTTTTAAAATAACAAATTCTCCTTCAACTTTTTTCTCTTTTCCCTTTCCCTCTCTCTCTCTCTCTCTCTCTCTCTCTCTCCTTGTCATTCCTTCCTCTTAATGGTTCTCTTCAAAATAGCTGTAAACTGTAATTTTTGGAAATTATTTCTCATTTGTCTACTTTTTCTTTTTTGTTCTATTTTAATTAAACAATTAAAATTGCTGAATATATCTGAACATACTTAAATCATTTACTACTATAACTACAATTAACTACGATAACTGTAAATGAATTATTATCATACAGTAGCATAGCTTCATTACCATACCATACCACTGCAAAAATTTATCATCATACTGTAGCCGAACTTCATCATCTACTGCAGCTCATATCATCATACTGTAGCCCAACTTCACTATCATACTGTAACACAACTCATTTTCTCATCTGTTCATTCATTCCACAATAACATCAAACTTTTCGTATCTGTTTTAAAAAAAAGAGGAGATAAACTAAAAAAAGTCTTTCATTGGTTATATTATAATCATTTATGATATCTTTTTATCATATCAGTCAGTAATTTCCCTCCCAATATTTCTCAAATCTTTTATCATCTCGTTCTACTGCAAATCCTTAATGTCTCATTTTCTCTTATTTTGTTATTTTATGAAATATTTCATGAACAAATATATTTTTTTTTTATAGATACTGTATTATTATTATTATTATTATTGTGATATTATTATAATTATAATTATTATTATCACTGCTATTGTTATTTCATATCATTCATTCATCAAACTTTTAATATTTTATCTGCCTCAAGTTTTGTTTCAATTATATATACAGTTGTTATTTCTATTCTTCATTTTGTCGTCTTTTTTTTTTTTTTTTTCACATATCCCAACTTTCCATTATCATCTCTGATAATTTACTTATCATTAATCACTAATACTTTAGGGTATAGATTTTATGTGCAAGTAAACAAATGAAATATGTAATTTGTTATGAATTGTTATAATTACTTCTCATTTGAAAAGCTATTTTGACTGTTACAAACTTTTTTCTTTTTCCTTTCTTTTTCTTCTTGTATTTGTGAAAAAAGAAATTTACATTTTTTTTTCTTGTTTCTTACTTTTTCTATTTATGAAATAATAGATATTCTATGATAGGATTGTATAAGTTTATGGATAACAAAATAAACTATTTGTATAGTACGTTGACATTGACATTTTTTTCATCACAAAATTACAATATCAAAAAATTAACCTAACTTTAATTTATCTACCATGTGCAATGTACTGAATCAGAAGGGAGCAATAATTGATAATAATAATAAAAGCATTAGTAATAAAAATAATGATAACAAACATTACAAATTATCACATCACTTCGTTTTAATTTTAAAATTTGATCAAGGAAAAAAAAATTCATTCATTTGAAGTTTTAAAAGTGAAAGGGAGAGTAAGGGAGTAAAAAATTGAGCAAAATATATTACAATCATTATTTTATGACGGAGATAACTTCAATTTAATTAATTAAATTTCTGTAGATTAATTAGCAATATTTGATAATTCATTTGTTTAATTTTAAATTAAACAAGTATTCCGAAATACAAGTCAAATTTTAGTCAAGAAAAAAGTTGAAAACATTGAAAAGAACAATTCCAGAGGACAAAAAAAAACTAAAAATTTGTATGACAAAAAGGATTGTATTGAGAAAAAAATTTTTTTGATTCTTAATATTTAATTTAAAAATCACTTAAATATCTATTAGTAATGAAATAATTCGATAGAACTGTATAACAATTATATGAATAAAAGTCACACTGAAAAAAATGATTTAAATATGACTTAAAAAAAAAAAAAAACAAAAAATTTTTTTTGACCATTCACAGCAACAATAATGCCAAAAACACACTAATATGATTATTTAATTGATTGTAATATTAAAAAAAAATTTTTTTTAAAAAACATTTCCCCATTTATTCCATTACAGAAATTTAACAAAATATTACTGAAAACAAAAAATGAAGAATGAAGCAAAAATCTGATTTAATTTAATTTAATTTAGTTTAATTAAATGCGACATTTTTGTTTAATTTAAAATATTTCGTTTTTTTCCAAATTTGAAAAAATAAAAAGAAAAGAAAAGTAATGATGACAACATTCCATTGATTAAAAACAACCATTCAAAACAAAAAAAAATTTTTTTTTAAAAATCCTGAAATTAAATTTTCATTGAAAAAAAATCAAATTTTGATTTTAACTTGATTGTGTTATTTTAAATAAATTTATTCAGTATTAAAAACTATAGATCAATATTGAGTTCACGTCTAATCACGTACGTGATTTACTAGTTTCGACGGATTATTTATATTTATCACTCACTAATTCATTCTCATCCTTCACAAATTAGGAGATTTCATCAGTCGTTGCATCTAGTAATGATGCAAAACGATTGAAATCATCTTCTCATGAAATTAAGTTTCAGTAAAATTTATTGGTGTGGTATATTTTATTAGCATAGTAAATCTTATTTGTGTAGCAAATTTATTTAATAGTAATTAGCTTTGTAGCTTTGTAATATTATCATGTGACAGTGTATAATATATAAAATTAGTTAATAAGTGGTGGTATCAATAAAGCTTTTTCCGTAATATTATTTTTCATAAACGTATGTGATATTAATTTAAATATTTAATGGTTTATTAAAATTTTTTTTTGGTAGTGTATGAATTAAGATAGCGTAAAGCTAATTTTAGCATCGAAGTAATAAATAAATGACAATTTACTTATAGCACTACAACGGAGCTTATGAATGAAATGTGTAGTAAAAATGAAACGAAGAAATATATGTAATTAATGCGTGTTGTTAAAAATTTGAATAATTGATAGAGTTAAATATTGTTAATGTTGATATGCAATTGTAGCATCGATACGAAAATAGCCATTGCATTTTGCTTTATTTTGCAATGTTTGATTTATATAGTGAAGCAGGGAAAGTTATACAAAAGGCTCTAAACAAAGAAAAAAATATTCGAACTGCGATTTATGCAAGTAATTTTAAGGTATGTTTAATTTATTAGTTTCTTTTATAATTATATAAATTTGTTCCTTTTCTTTTTTCCTTTTTTTTTTCTCTTTCTCTTAGGTTTTCCGAATTTAAATTGAATTATCTTAGAACAAGAAACAATTATTGCGTTTATGCTGTGAAACATTGCGTTTTCGAAATTGTTTGGATAGAATATTGGAAGCGAAAGAATTGCATGATTTGATAACAGAATTGCATTTTGATCGTTACTTGTTGTATGTGTTACTATATGATCATATTTTCGGTCAAGGATTAAGCAAAGCTAAGAAAGTATATTCTAGCGCTATTTTGAAACGTGCAACATATATTGATCAACAAGTAAGTCGACTATGAAGTTCATTTTTCTTCTTTTTCTCTTCCTTTTTTAAATATTATACATTTTCAGTTACGGATGCAACTAGCAACATTTCATCTTTACAACTTTTATGTTTAGTTTCCCTTTAATCTGTAATGATTATATGAGTGTTGAATAAAACATATGAAAGTAGTATGAATGGCTTTTTTTTTTCCTTAGCATTTGATGATCTTAATTTCCTTATCATGTAGTGATTATATTTTTAATTTGCTTCTCATGTTTATGTCAGTTCATGTCAACTAGGGAAGATTATTCGTTTTATTTCATCCTTACTGCACATTATTTTTTATTTCTCTTTCTGGAGCTTTCTTCTTTGTTATGTAAGTTTGAAATTTTACTTGATAATGTTTACTGGTGATTTTTTAAGTTAGAAACCATGAAAGATATGATTGAAGAGGCAAAAGGATGTGTTGCACAACCGTCAACAGTCATTCAAAATCCGAGGTACGCAAGAGTGAACACACTAAAGTGGTCCTTTGATGAAGCATTGCAAGGTAATTCGTTTTTTTCATGGTATTTGAAATTTTAATACTAGTTTCAATTTAGCAAAATGTTTCAGCTTTGCAAGATGAAGGATGGAATATTTCGACTTTGGAGCCTCAGGAACATAACGATTGGTATAAGACCTCTGTCAGTTCGATGTTAAAAGATCAAGTTTACATTGACTGTCATGTTAAAGAATTGCTTCTGTTTCCTGCAAATACCGATTTGCATCAACATTGGATGGTTACGAGTGGATATTTATTATTGCAAGATAAGGTATACTTTTTTTATTTTGAAATTTATCGAAAATATGATTAATATTTTTGGTTTATCACATTAGTTTTACTTGAAGTTAATCTACAAGTTTTTGAACCTATGATATTAAAACTAAAAAGAAAAAATTGTTGGCATGATATTACTGCTTCTAAATTTCGTTGGGAAGCTGATCTGAAATTTGCTTGTATATTTCTTTAAAACATTCTGAACCAGGTTGTTTAACATAACTGCGAATGTTTTAATAAGTTTGCAGCAACTTCTGGAAATAAAATGTGTTTTTCTTTTCTTATTATAAAGCTGTCACCATATTAGTGATTAATTATCCAAGTTTAGTTTTGTATAATTATAAATAATTCGAAACCAGTAAATTGTGCATGTTTAGGCGAGCTGTCTACCAGGTTTAGTTTTAAATCCAAAAGCAGGAACTTGCATATTTGATATTTGTGCAGCACCTGGTATGAAGACTACACATCTAGCAGCACTGGTTCAAAATAAAGGGTGAACATTTTCATATGCTTTATTTATAAGTTTAATTCAATAGGTTCATATTTCATTCCTCAAAAATTAGAGAAACGTCCGTTTTCTACTTTTAGCAAAATTTGGGCAATCGATAAAGCAAGTGATCGAATTAAAACGTTACAAGTAATGGTCGAGAAAGCTGGAGCAATTAACGTTAGCACATGTTGCGGAGATTTTCTTCGTACTGATGTAACAAATGACAGATTTAATAAGGTATGTTTGATTTCTTCTACTTAATTTATTTAAACTGTTAAAATTTTGTTGTGGAGAAATAGGAAGTGATAATCAAATTATGATACAATTTGTTGTGCTTCTTATTTTTTATTGCATGTTTATCTTATTATTTGGTTATTAAAAAGCACTTTAATAGCAAAGAGTTATCAAATGTGATTACTTACTGTTTTTTCTACTAAAAATTTGCATTTCTGACCAATAAATTTTTATTCATTACATTATTCTTTTTTGATTATTTCACTTGCTAATATAGATCCGTTAAAAGGTACGGTATGCATTATTAGATCCGCCATGTAGTGGATCAGGAATTGTAAAACGTATGGATCAATTAATTGATGAGGAAGAAAGAGTAAACACTAACCGTTTGCGATCTTTATCAAATCTTCAGGTAAAATAACTAATGATTGTATTTGATGTTATAAAATTTATCGGAAATGTTTATGACTGAAATTTAGGAACTTTTGTTGTTTTGATTGTCCGTGAGATTCATGCGATATTCTTTTAGCCATATTAATATAGGCTTTGATCATACACTTTAGTAGATCTCATGGTTGAAGATTTTATAGTTTCATGCAATATAATCTCAGTTAGGGGTAAAATTCATTTGAGTAGTCCTCGATTATGTTATCTTTATGAAATATTTGAGCATATTGAAAGGGACATTATTTTCCAATTTTAGGCTATGCTTTTGAAACATGCAATGGGATTACCGAATTTGAAGAGAATCGTTTATTCAACATGTTCAATTCATGAAGAAGAAAACGAGCAAGTTATTGAGGAGGTTGCTAATCATTTCAATTTAGTTTCGTAAGCAAGATTTTTTGAAAGGAAATTACAGACAGGTTTTTTTTTTTTTTTTTTGGGAAGAGACGACTGATTCTAGTCTGCTTAAAAAGTTTTAAATGTGATGGATTGTAGTAGGAGAAAAATTTTCCTCAGATCACAAAAAAAAAAATTAAGTCATAAAAGAGAATCATTTAAATTAAAATTAAAAATAGGAATAGCGAAGTGTACTTATAATGCACTTTTTTTTAGATCCTTAACGACGAGTCTTTACGGACACATTTCGAACTGATAAAAGCAATGCCAGAATGGCCGCATCGAGGAAGAGCAAATTATTCATTCGGTGATAAATGTTTGCGAGCATTACCAGAAATTGATCTAACTAATGGATTTTTTGTTGCTGTTTTTAAAAGGCGGAAAATGTAACAGTTCATGGCGAATGTTTTGCTCTTTGATTCGCTATTGTTAGGAGAGTTTAAAGAATTCCGGAATTATTGACATAGTTCTTTCCTTCTTAACCGGTGCGGTACGTATAATTTAGAGTTTTAGGTAATTTTTTCTTTTTTGTTGTTAGTTGGAATGGTCAGACATTAAGTACACGAGTTAGCATTAAGAAAAGATTTAAGAAATTTTACGCATTTTGGTTAAATTATAAAATGTCGAGTCATGAAATTATCTTAACTCATGGTAATTGCAGGTTTTTTAAACTGGTAATTTTTTCATGGAAATATGCAGCTTATATTGTTGACATTTCTTGTTTTATTTCATACTGTTTATGTAATAAAATTGATTTTAATTTATTTTCACTCTTTTGAAAGAAAGCTTGTGTGCTACACATATTACTTTTTTCACATTTATATTTTCTGGGAACTTAGTAGTCGGAATACTTTAGCAGATTTTTTTTTTTTCAAATTACAAAATTACAGTATTTAATAATTGCTGTTTGTTTTAATTTATTAAAATTTTGAAAGCAGCAGTCAATTTCTTTATACAAGTAATTCTATATTTTTTTTTCTTAAATTTGATTTGTGAACTTATCAAAAATTTTTGTTTTACAGATATCAAAAAAAAGAAAAAGGACTACTAATTTATTATTTGGAAGGAATGGTTTGTGTACCGTGTATATTGTTACCTGTACTTTTGGCATTATACATCAAATTTATTCAACCGATTGTATTTCGATTCTTGCCAGAATCATGGAGGACAACATTTGATGCACTGCTGTATCCCACATGTCCAATTCAGATTCCTACAGCTTCTGCTGAAGATGCTACTACTGTTGCTGCAGGCAAAAGTGTCAAAGTTGATGGTGAAAATGTTCAAAAGGAGTTAGATAATTATGATAATTGCACTGATAGTAGCAAGAAAAATAAATAACTTTTATCGATGATTTATTAGTATTTTTTTTAAATGACTTTTTTTTCTTTTTTAATTATATCATTTATTTCTCTTCATTTTATTGTATTATTGCTTCTCGTGGTAATATAATATTTGCGTAATTTTAAAAAGACATATTTGTTCATCTCTAGATTGCTCTTTTTCAAGTGTTCAAAATGAATTGTTGTCTAGGGAATCAGTAAATAGAATGATTTCTTTTACTGTGTAAATATGATAGAAGACATATTGTTTACATACATTTTGACTTTTTGATATAGTTTTTATGCTTCTTCTGGATATTCCACCTTGAAATTTTGAAATTTTTAAATTTATTATTTTTAATTAAATCTCTAGAAAAAATGTACATGAATATTAGTAAATGGTATGTTGGATGAAAGGAAAGTAGTAATATATTTTGAATAATATAGGGACTGCTCCGGTTTCTTTTTTCTAAAATATTATTTTATGGTGTAATGTGATTACTCTGATTTTGATTTAAGTTTAGCAATCATTTCGATGAAAAATTATGCATTAATTGTTTTGTTTTATAATCAATTATTACATTTATAATTTGAATTGTTTATTAAATGTTTCGAAAATGATTTCAAATTGGTAGCAATTGAAGGAAATTTTTTCATCAAAAAAAACTGAAATGTTAAGTGACCAATATGTTATAAATATTAGAAATATCAAACAAATAACATATTTTCTTCTATCAATTTGTACTGCTTGGCTACGAATGATTAATGTTTATCATTTGAATTTTTGATGGAAATGGAATTAAATTTGGGAAAGCAGGTTCTTTTTTTATTACCGGCGAAATAAGAAGTTCTACCATTTATCAATTTCCAATTTAATCATTCAAAAATTAGCAAGAGAGATATGGATAATACTGATATCATTGAGTTGATGACGTTTAAATTTCAGTTTCTCAACATTTTCTTAAAATATAAAATTAGGGAATTTCATAACTGTGAAAGTTTTTCAAAAGTTTTTCTTTTCCATCTAATTATATAAATTTCTTTTTCAACGCTGAAATTGAAATTGATTGGGCATATATGCAAATAATCGTTTATCTAAAAAATTTTCATATTTTAAGAATGCTTTTTATCACCTTCCAACCTACTATTATTTATTTATAAATTTCAAATATTCAATTTTTGAAAAAAAAATTTTTTTTTTTTCATTTTCTATTATATTCAAATGAAAAAAATAAATGAACAAACAAATAATCAATGATTGATGATAACTGAGAGAAATATGAATGATTTTCTTCTTCATTTAGTCATTTTGTATGTAAATGATTGAAATGGAGTTAAAATATAATTTGTAAGAAAAAAATTGAATCGATCAAATTTTTATATATTAATTTTTTTGTATATTAAATAGTTTTGTATACTATATATTTATAAATTTCAAATATTCAACTTTTGAAATTAAATATTAAATTTTTTTTTTTTGAAATTAAATATTAAATTTTTATCAATTAATATTTCAATTTTTTTTTTTTCTGAGAAAATGCCGAAATTTTTAGCTTACTAATTTTCATTTTCAATGAAAATTATTAAAATTTTAAAGATTAACAAAAATAATCTCCTTCTGTTTTTCTTTTCTTTTGCCTTTTTTTTTTTTTTTGTTTTCGATATTGTGATTTTAAGAATTTTTTTTTTCTTTTCATTCTGATAATTTGTCTTAAAAAAAAGAAAACAAAAAAGGAAAAGAAAACTTTTTGAAATTAAATAGTAATATTCTTTTTTCTATATTCTTACTTTTTTTCTACCAAAAAAAGAAAAAAAAAAAACTTCATTTTAACTTTTTTTTTTTATCGCTGATTATTCATTCTTCGTTTCAATAAATTTTTTCTTCTCATTCCATTTCATCTTTTCCCATTCCTTAATTTATTCAAAAGAAAAAAAAAAAATTCGATTTTTCTTATCACACAGATTTATACTTTAGCATTTCGTCGTTTTCTTCTTTTTTTTTTCTTTCTAACGCATTTTTTTTTCCTAAAGTTTTTTCTTTTTTAATTAGATTGAAAAAGAGAAAATAAAATTCTCTTGAAAAAATGCAAAAAAAAAAAGTAAAAAAATTAAAAAAAAAGGAACCGTAAAATTCATATTTAAAAAGATTTAATTTACTTATGAAAAAAGAAGCTTATGGTTCTCTTTTTTTGTTTTAAAAAAAAAAAAAAATTTTATTAAATTAAAGATGAGAATTACCTATCGCTTATCATTTTATGCTTAGCATTGTGATAATTTAGTGATAAGTGAAATAAATGAATGTTTTCTGATATTTAATATAAATGTTTTCTATCAGTGTTAATATAATATTAAATAAACAAATTTATGGAATATAGCATGGAAAAAGTAAAATTTTTTTGACAAATGGAATTTATCATAATTAAATTAAATATCTAATTATTGTATTATTTTCTTATACAATTATTGTTGCATTTCATATTATTTATTTATTATTTTAAAAGTTTGTTTATATACAAATTATATGTTTATTTTGCAATGCAGATGTTTACACTCATAGTTCAAAAAAAAAAAAAAAAAAATAAAAATAAATATGTTTAATTTTTTCCATAGAAAAAGAAATACATTTTTCTTTTTTTAAAAAGATAAAAATTGAATATATTTATTTGAATTGAAATATAATTAGTTTATCTAATAATAATAATAATAATAATGATAATATTACAATGAATTAAATTATATTTGATTTCGCAGTTAAAACTATCAGTGCAAATACATATATTTCTTTTTTCATTTTATGAAATTTAACACTAATGAAATTTAACGCTAAAGGATTTAAATTTTTAAATCTTAATTCTATAAAAATTTGTAAAAAGATTTTTTAAGAAATATTTCTTTCCTACACATAATTAATAATTTACTTTCAGTTTCAATTTCTCTTTGCAATTGCATTTCATAGTCAAATGAAATGAGAATTTATCATTTTTTTTTCTTTTTTTTGCAAATTAATAAGAATATATTGCTAATTGTATTTTTCAAAAAAAAAAAAAAAATCTAAAAAATAATAAAATTTAAAAATTTAATTTTATCAATGCAAAAAAAAAGAAAAGAAATGTTAGGACAAATTGAAACTAAATCAATTTGTAAAATTTCTTACCAATTAATTGTAAAAATTATCTTTATAACATCTTAATCATTCATATCTCTTCTTTTCATCTCTTCTTCTCTTCATTTTTTCTCTCTCTCTCCCTCCCTGATAAGATGCAATGAAAAGAAAAATGAAAACGAGGATATTGATATGAGATATATTAAGTTTAATAAGATAAAATGAAGATCATAAAGATATAATTGAAATGAACTGACCTAAATTTCAATAAAATCAAAATATGACTGATAATTTTATAGATGAATCATTCGTATTAATATTATAAATTCTCTCATAATTTCATCCTATCATTTCAACAGAATTAATTCTTTTTATAAATGATAATCATTAGATTAAATTATTTTATAATATTTATTTATTTTTTTTCACATAAATAATTCCAAAAAAAAAAAACTACGAACTTATAATTTTATCAATTTGATATTGCAATTTGATATTGTAAAAATTAATTATTTCTTCTTTTTTTGTTATAATTATTAATTTATCGTTTAATTTCATATTTATTTTTTCCCTTTTTCTCTTTTTTTTTTCTATTTTATACAAAATATTTTAAAAAGGAAAAAAATTTTACATGCTGAAATTTTCATAATGAATTTCATATTTCATTTCTGACATTAAAATTTTATTACTATTATAACAATCATTGAAATTTCATTTTTTCCTAGCATATCAAATTAAATTGTGCCATTTATACATTTCATATTCATTTTATTGTTACTCAGTCATTTCATTTCAAATTATTTCTCAAAGTATTTTCGCAATTTATAATTTTTAAGTTATAAAATGTGATAAATTATTTCTAAATTTCTCACTCAATCATTATTTTGATTGCATACTAATATATTTCATGGAAAAATGAAGTAAATTTGATCAAAAAAAAAGTGAGAAAAAAATTCAATTTTAAATTTATTTTAAGCATTTTAAATTTGATAAGTAAAAGAAAAGAAAAATCAGTGAAATGATTCAGTAAGAAAAAAAAAAAAACACAAAAATTTCAATTATTTATAAATTAGTTGGAAAAAATTATTTAATTAAACTAATCTTAAATAACATTAATGATATTATTTTTATGATATTAATGATAAAAAATATACATTGTAATAATATAAATACGAAACAAATTTTGGTCCAAAAAATTTTTTCAAATTTAATTTAGAGATAACAAATTCACCCTATCAAATAAAATTATTATTATTCACTATTATTATTAATATTATTACTTACTACTGCTATTATTATTATTAATATTTATTATTATTATTTACTATTACTATTATTATTTATTATGATTTTGTCGTATAAACTCATTGTATCCAATAAAATTATTATTATCTACTATTATCAATAATATTATTACTTACTACTGCTATCATCATTATTATTTACTTCTGTTTATTATCATTATTATTATTGTTTACCATTATTAATACTATTATTTCATTCTTTTCAAAAATGCTTCAAAATAACAAATTTGTTTGTATTATTTTTCTTTCAACAATTCGTTTCAATTGTGTAAAAAAAAAATTTTTTTTTTTTTTAAACTTTTATATCAAATAACATTAAAATAGTGAAAATATTTGCTACTATTTTTAAATTTTTGCCATGCAATCAACTAAAAATGTTAGAATAACAAAAAAAATTTTTTTGCATTTTTTTTTCTAAAATTTTATCAAATATTTTGTACTTTTCGAAGTGAAAAAAAAGCGAAAACTGAGGAAATGAAAGCAAAAAAAAAGAAAATATAAACATTTGATGAATTTCTTTGTTAGATAATAAACAAAGCAGATGTTTTCAATCATTTCATCCCACTTTTTTCTCCTCCTCCCCTTTAGTTTACATATTAATCTTAAAATTTA